AATATCTTGATATCAGCAGGAGCAATTGGCTTAAAACTTATCACAGCCCTAATATAGCAGTCCAACATTATGATCATAGCAGTCATGAATTCAGTATATGACATTTCAAACTGCGAGCAAAATAGGCCGCTTTTGTGCCTCAATACAAATTATTTTATTCACCTCCTAAGATTAATAACTGTATTTCAATAGTCAGAATGCAAACTGCATAAATCATGTGTTGTTAGGGCAAACCATAATGTTTGTCCTACCCAGCAACAAATACTGAATGCAATTCGCATTGTGACTTCTGAGATACAATTATTTGTAACATGTGAACGAAATAATTTATATTGATAGACTTCGCAAGACACATGCTTTCAATTTGGTTACATTATGATAATAGCCTATATTACCAAATACATTTCATCCATCTGTATACTGTCTGTCATTAATGCTATGGTCACATTACCCAAAAGTAGCCTGCTCGGCGGCAGAGCGGCAAGTTTTTAACCAATTCTGCCCGGCGGCTGCCCGGCCACCGAGTGGCGGTCGCCCAGGCTCCACTCGTTTTTAGGGCATCGCTCGGTCGCCGCTGAAGTTTTAGCGCGGAGTTAAAATTTGGGCGGCGCCTGCTCACTTTTCGGTCGCCGCCCAAAATAGGCTCGGTGCCTGGGCGGTTGCCACCCGGCACCGACCTAATCGCTGGGCGATGCCTAAATTCCAGCAGCGACCGAGCAGACTACTGATCGGTCGGTCGCTGCTCTGATTTGTGACCATCGCTTAATTTACTCATATCATTTGACACAGAGTAAATGCCCTTCTTCATCCAAACACACGTTATTGAAACAACAAAAAATTATAAACTTCTACTTGAACATTATGATTGATTAAAACCGTACAGCCATAAAACTATACAGACATTCTCGCCGCCATGGCTGTATAGTTTCCTGCATTGTGATAGGTTAAAACTATGCAGCCATAAAACCATACAGACATTCTCGCGCAATGGCTGTTTAGTTACTTGCACTGTGATTGGTTAAAACCGTACAGCCATAAAACTATACAGACATTCTCGCCGCCATGGCTGTATAGTTTCCTGCATTGTGATTGGTTAATTCCGTACAGCCATAGAGCTGAATGGATGTATGGTTGTTCGCAATTATGGCATTTCGGCCCGCAAACGTAACAACCGTACATGCGTTCTATAGCTGTATAGTTGCAAAGTCGTATAGTTGTATAGTTTTATAGTTGTACAGTTTCCTGCGTTCTGATTGGTTAAAACCTTACATCCATTCGATGGATGTATAGTTGTATAGTTGTCATCTTTATGGCACGATCCGCCCGTCATAGTGGCGTGCGTACTCTGTCTATGGATCTGTCTTATACACAGGTACATGTACTGTACTAGTACAAGAGTACGTTCGTAAGCATTAGTACATACATTGCTCCGGAATGAAGAGAATCATTATAAAGGACGAATTACTCCATGAAGCCAAGTACAAGCAGGGAATTGAAATAGCAAACGTTCCTCGGAGCGGCTATACAGTCCCTAATCTAGCTAGTTTTGTAATGACAGTTTATAGGAAAATGGACATTTAGTAGGCCTACTGCAGAGGCGGCCCTCCCGGGGGGGGGGGGGGGCAGAGGGGGCACAGTGCCCCCCCCCACTTTTTCAGATACCCCAAAAGTGCCCCTTTTTACATAGGAAAAGTGCTCCTTTTATTTTGTAAGAAGTGCCCCTTTTACATAGGAAAGGTGCCCCTTGTACTTTGACAAGTGCCCTTATTACTTAGTAAAAGTGCCCCTTACCCTTTTTCACCTCTGACGAGTGCCCTTTTTATTTTTGACACGTGCCCCTTTTCCTTCAACATGTTCCCATTTTCCTTTGCAATAAGTGTCCATTTTCCATTCTCATAAATCTTGAAATTATCTTGAATAAGTGCCCTTTTTAATCTCTAGTAAGTGCCTCTTTTCAGGTACGAGAAGTGCCCCTTTTCACTTTTAATAAGTGCCCCCTTCACCTCTGATAATTGCCCTATTCAAACCTGAGAGGTGCTCCTTTTACTTTGACAACTTCCCCTTTTTTCCTTCGTAAGAAGTGCCGCTTCTCCTTTAAATAACTACCCCTTTTTTAAACTCGGATGAGCACACCTGTCATTTTAACATGTGCCCCTCTTATTTTCTAATAAGTTCCCCTTTTCCTTATGATAAGTGCTCCCATTAAAAAGAGAGAGCTCCTTCCCCTTCTCATAACTACCCCTTTCCCTTTCTAATAAGTGCCCCTTTTCCTTATGATAAGTGCCCCCATTAAAAATAAAGAGCTTCTTCCCCTTCTCATAACTGCCCCTTTAAGAATCTGAACGGTGTCCCCTTTTCATTCAACAAATGCACATTTTCCTTTATTATAAGTGCCCCTTTTACATTTTCATAAGTGCCCCTTTTCATATCTGGTCAGTGCCCCTTTTCAACTCTCATAATTCCCCCTTTTAATAATGATACGTGCCCCTTTTCCTTTCTAATAAGGGACCTATCCCCTTTTCACCTCTTATAAATGCCCCTATCAAAATCTGATGGGTGCCCCTTTTCCGTCAACAAATGCCTATTTCCCATTTTCGTAAACGCCTCTTTCTCATCACTGGTGAGTGCCTCTTTTCAGGTGAAAAAATGCCTCATTTTCACCTCTTATAATTATACTTTGTACTTTGACACGTGCTCCTTTTCTTTTCTAAAAGTGTCTCATCCCTTTCGATAATTGTCCCCTTTTCATGTAATCATTAAACGTGCCCCTTATTTAAGGCGACTAAGAGCAATTTCCCCCAAAGTTCGCTCACTGCGCTCGCTCGCATTTAAAGATGATATAATTATGTTACTTATCAAAGGTCTTTTCAAAGGTCTTCCATTATGAGAATGTGCTTATAACCCCATCACGATTGGCTTTTTTCCTCTCTATAAGATGTAATTTTTCGCACTGCGACCTCACAGATCTTTAAAAAATTTCTCGCTCGCTTCGCTCGCTCGTAAATGCATATTCAGACATCACACTGGAAAGTATGATGCTTAAGCGATATCTTGTATGATGTATGAAGAGAAACAAATATTGAAATCATCCCTGATAATGTAATCACAATGTAGGGGTATACACCAATGTCTAAAAAATTGTATATTTTCGATTTGAGATTTCCCACTGTAGGTGCCCTTTTTTTCCAGAAAGTGCCCTTTTTTGTTGGTGCCCCCCCCCACTTTGGAAGTCGCTCGGCCGCCCCTGCCATCAATATACACATTTTGCTATCTCATTTTCATAAAACATTCGTAAATGAGACAACCGTATATGAGACAAGAATAAATTGAATTCTCGCTCATATGGCTTCATCAGGAATTGATCAATTCATTCAATTTATTCAATCGGAAATTCAGACAAGGATTAAGAGTCGAGAACGGTACAACGAATGGTCTTCTTTGCGTAATAATTTAATGAAACGTCAAAGGAAATTGAATTTAGGCAAGGATTAAGAGTCGAGAACGGTACAACGAATCGTCTTCTTTCTCTAATAATTTAATGAAACGTCAAAAGAAATTGAATTTAGGCAAGGATTAAGAGCCGAGAACGGTACAACGAATTGTCTTCTTTCCCTAATAATTTAATGAAACGTCAAAGCTTCCGCGCTTCGCGCGGAAGGGGGGGGGGGGGGGGACTGAATTCCGACAAGGATTAAGAGTAGAGAATGGTACAACGAATCGTCTTTTTTCTCTAATAATTTGATAAAACATCAAAGCTCCCTACTGCCCCCTAAACTAAAATCCTTGTTACGCGCTTGAGAGGATAATAACCCAAGTTGCAAGCCCATGTGGGACCCACATGGGTCCCATATTCTCTGAAATGTTATCTTTATAAAGGGTGACTTGAAAAAAGTTAATAACTTGTAAGGGAGGGGGTGCAACCTGCCACACGCTTCTGATGTTATTGAACAACTAAACAGTAGGCCTACTAAATGTCCATTTTCCTATAAACTGTCATTACAAAACTAGCTAGATTAGGGATTGTATAGCCGCTCCGAGGAACGTTTGCTATTTCAATTCCCTGCTTGTACTTGGCTTCACGGAGTAATTCGTCCTTTATAATGATTCTCTTCATTCCGGAGCAATGTATGTACTAATGCTTACGAACGTGTACAGACATATGTATGGAAGGCCATCGCCGCCATATATCGCAAGCGAGCTTGCGGTACTGGTTAGTAGCTTACGTACGGTAGTTAGTATAGTGCTTGCGTTACTGAGTGGTAGCTCGCGGTAGTTAGTTGTAGTGCTTACGGTAATTTCCTCCATGGCTCATCCCAATCGGCACGCTCTGCGTGTGTTGTTCAACTTGGATTCCGTAAGCACTACAACTAACTACCGCGAGCTACCACTCAGTAACGCAAGCACTATACTAACTACCGTACGCTACTAACCAGTACCGCAAGCTCGCGTGCGATATATGACGGGACAGAGTATAGTCTGCAGGCACAGACCCTAATTTGACACTTAATCAAAAAATCATTGTGCCTTGAGAGAAGTCTAGCCCAGCTACCTACTGGTTGTGTCAATGTGAAGGAGCAGCTACAGTACATGGCCTATGGTAGTCTTATAGTGCAGACTCACTTTTACGACTGACCAGGGTTTGTGCTTGCAGACTAGACAGAGTACGCACGCCGCACGTCTGTGACGTAGGGAATAATGAATATTCATATCGTCACTAATCTTGGTGCCAATATATGCTACCGGGATATTGCGCAATCTTTGACTGGTTAATAACAAGTTGGTACAGGATCGACGACCGCTCGATTAGATTTTGCGTTTTAACGACACAAACCAGTTGGAGTATTGTTTATACTGACGGAATAAGAACTTAAACTGTAGCTTTGCTAATTATGAGGGGGATTTGTATGATTTAATACGACATGGCCGAGAAAACAGCGAAACAAGCACCCGTTGCTATTCGACTAACAAGCAGCCGTGCAACTGCATCGCGAGGTACGAAGGAACGCCAGAGCTCCGGCGGGGATGGTGAAATGTGTTTCGGTGACGAATGGCTGGACGATTGGGAAGATGAGGCAATTTTACATCAGGCCATGGATGACCTTGATCAAAGTTTGAAAAGCAATTCAACATCAGTCAGTGACAGTGCTAAGTCTTTCTCACCAGAAAGTGATACAACTGAAAAGAATTCAGGGGAAGTATCGACAACGATCTGCAGCTGCAGTTGTGAAATATCCTCTGTCACTGACTCAGTCTCAGCTACAGAGGAGCTAAATGAAAAGGGTGTTGAGGTTTCAGCCGGTAAAGAAATTGCAAAAGAAGGTGACTGCAAGGAAAACATTTGCCAATACTGCCAAAGGACAATTGCAAAAAGAACTGTAAGTGACGTTGCTACCAATTCCTCGCCGACAAAGAAAGCCAAGCTGGATCTTGAGGAAGAGACAAAGAAATTTACGATGGATCCGTTGAGGCAGTTCAAAGGAAAATACCTCTGGGTGTCCGATCTGACGGCTCAAGCATGGTGTGAGAGGCAGCTTCTCTATGATTGCACAGGAATTGAGGGCAGACCAGTTGAGATCTTGGAAACAGAAGCCATGAAAGTTGGTACAGAGATGCATCTGAAGAGAGGTTAGATATTATATGCATGTATTCAGGGGCCCGTTCCTCGAAACCGTCATAAGTCTAACTTCTTGACTATCCCATTGAAACGTGTGTAATAGAATTAAGTTTTTGTGTAGACTTATCCCAGGTTTTATGATAGCAGAAACATGTAGAATTGAATGAAAAGTGTCATACATACAGGCGCGGATCCAGTATTTTCCAATAGGGGGGGGGGGGGGGCGGATATTTGAAAATCGTTATTTCAACTCAACTTACCAATACTGAGAAGGTTATATTAAAAACACCGTACCGGTACATACAAGCGGGTACAATTTTTTTCTTCTCTCGTCCGATATCAACATTCCCCAAGTTTAAGTTATGTGCGAGCAATTTTTTTACATTTTCATCAGGGGGGGGGGGGGGGGGCTGAATCCACTTGCTAAAATATTGATTTTCTGGGTTCACATTTTCGCGAGCGAGCGAAAAATTGAGCATATGTATGTTGTGAAAATGTTTTTATCCCCAAAATACGCGAGATAAGACATTCAAAAAATGCATATTCGGTCAGGTTGTAATTTTTAAATTTGCGAGGAAAGAGAGGCTGTACCCCGCATTAACTGCAAGAAATGAAATTTGAATGCCTGTGGAGTAAATAAAGAAACAGCTCTGGCTGCAACCATGATTACATGAGAGCTTCCATTTTTTTGGAAATCCAGAACAATTAAACTCTTGTGGTGTTATATCTCTGTTTCATGACTGTCAAAATTTATTTAACACTTTCTTTATATCTTTACATATTTATATTCATGAATTACTTGATCACTCAGGCGCGGATCCAGGATTTCTTAGGGGGGGGGGGGGCCCACTTTTTTTTTGGTCCAAAAAAAAAACGCAACAATTCAGCCAGCTGCTAAATAAGGGGGGGGGGGGGGGGGGGGGGGGGGGTAAGAGGACACTTTTTTTGTTTTTTGGTCTCGAAATTTGAAAATTTGACATTTTTTCCCGTTGGGGGGGGGGGGGGGTGAGGTCACCTTTTTTAGGTCAGCCATTGGCATAATTTTTTTTTTTAATTATTTTTTTATTTAAAAAAAAAAAAAAATCACAAAAAAAAGGGGGGGGGTTTGCTACAAAATACACACATAAAAAAAAACCGAAGGGGGGGGGGGGGTCAGCCCCCTAACCCCCCCCTCCCCTGCGTACGTGCCTGCTCGTCTGAATGCAGTTTTCCACCTCCCGCGCAAAGCGCGGAAGCTTTTACGTTTCACTAAATCATTAAAGAAAGAAGACGATTCGTTGTACCGTTTTTGACTCTTAATCCTCGTCTGAATTCAGTTACCCCACCTCCTGCGCTGAGCGCGGAAGCTTTTACGTTTCATTAAATCATTAAAGAAAGAAGACGATTCGTTGTACCGTTTTTGACTCTTGATCCTCGTCTGAATTCAGTTACCCCACCTCCTGCGCTAAGCGCGGAAGCTTTTACGTTTCATTAAATCATTAAAGAAAGAAGACGATTCGTTGTACCGTTTTTGACTCTTAATCCTCGTCTGAATTCAGTTTTCCCCTCCCGCGCGAAGCGCGGAAGCTTGTACGTTTCATTAAGTCATAAGAGAAAGAAGACGATTCGTTGTACCGTTCTCGAAAATAATCCTCGTCTAAATACAGCTTCTACGATTCATTAAATCATTATAGAAAGGAGACGATTCGTTGTACCGTTCTCGACTCTTAATCCTCGTCTAAATTCAGTCCCCCCCCCCATCCGCGCGCGCGAAGCGCGGAAGCTTGTACGTTTCATTAAATCATTAGAGAAAGAAGACGATTTGTTGTACCGTTCTCGACTTTTAATCCTCGTCTGACTTCAGTTCCCCCCCCCCCATTTGCGCGCGCGAAACGCAGAAGCTTTTACGTTTCATTAAATCATTAGAGAAATAAGACGATTCGTTGTACCGTTCTCGTCTCTTAATCCTTGTCTAAATTCAGTTACCCGACCTCCTGCGCAAAGCGCGGAAGCTTTGACATTTAATTTAATTATTAGAGAAACAAGACAATTCGTTGTACTGTTCTCGAAAATAATCCTCGTCTGAATACAGTTTTTCCCCTCCCGCGCAAAGCGCGGAAGCTTTTACGTTTCATTAAATCATTAGAGAAAGAAGACGTTTCGTTGTACCGTTTTCGACTCTTGATCCTTGTCTGAATTTCAAAAATGTTTTTTGTCTGCTCCTTTTTCTTCATACGTCCTCTTCCTTTTCTCTCTCTCTCTTTTTTTGGCCGGCGTTTTTTTTTTTTTTTTTTTTTTTTTTTGGGGGGGGGGGGGGCCCCCTGCCCCCCCCCCCTGGCTACGCGCCTGCGGTCAGATGAACATGTTTTGATACCTTGTCCGCCCCCGGAAACTCATGTGTTGAAGGCAAATTACGGTCAGATAAGCCTTCCGGAGCCCACCTCAGGGCCTCTGGTGGAGTCGAGGGTGCGGAAACCCCTGAATCTCAGGGGTTTCAGGCATTTGATCACAGTCAGATGAACATTTTGTATACCTTATTTGTGACACTGGCAGGACACTGATCGGCGTGAGGTCCAGCGGGCGGAGCCCCCAGAAGCCAAGGGGTTTTAAGCATTACATTACCGTCAGATTAGCATCCAGTGGGGTTCAGGGGGCAGAGCCTCCGGAAGATCAAGGGCTTTAGGCACTAAATTGCGATCAGATGAGTATCAAGGGGCCTGCCCAAGGGCCCTTGGTTGGGTCCCGGGGGCAGAGCCCCTGGAAGCTCAGGGGTTTTAGGCGTTTAATTACGGTCAGATGAGCAATTTTGATACCTTATTTTGTTGTGACACTGGTAGTTAACTATTCTTTCTTTCTTGCTCTCTTTCTATTTCTCTTTAAAATGCTTTTCCAAAAAAAAAATTGGGGGGGGGGGGGGGGGGGGAGCTGGAGGCTCCCGATCCACGCCGTTCCGCGGACCCTGACATGTAGGCATCTCAAGAAGCTTATTTCTTGCCTGGCTGTAAATTTACAAACGCATAAAAAAGTATAATTTACTAAAGAATGAGGACAAATCTCGATTTATGTCATTGCAGCATCATGTATAAACCACCGTTATGGAATAAGAAATAAACCATGTTTAAATTTTATTTCCCCTGAGCCCCCTCCCCGATCAATACGCCAGTGCCCCGCCCCCCGATCTACACTTTGTTGGCGGAAAAATCGCTACTGATCTCCCCTACCTTTCTTCTTTCTCTTTTTTTCTTTCCCTTTCTCTCCTCTTTCCCTTTCCCTTCCCTTCCTTCTCTCTCTTTTAGGTTTGGTGGGGGGGGGGGGGAGGGGGAGGCAAGGTCATTTCGGCCCCCACCCTTCTCCACACGTTGTTGGCGGGATTAACTGCAAATGATCTATTTCCCCTTCTTTTTACCTTTTTTTCCGGTCCCTTTTAGCTCTCCTTTTTTCCTTTTCCTGCTTTCTCTTTTTTTTAACGGGGCGGGGGGAGGCAACGGCATTTTGCCCCACCCCCACCCCGATCCACAACTTCTTGGCGGAAAAATTGCAACTGATACCCCCTTCTTTCTAGTTCCTTCCTTCTCTATTATTTTTGTGATTGGGGGAGGGGGGAGGGGAGGCTCTTCGCCCCCGATCACTTCTTCCCCCTTTTCTTTTCTTCTTCCTCTTCTTTCTTTTCCTTTCTCTCCTCTTTCCCTTCTTTTCCTTCTCTCTCTCTCTCGTTTTTCTTTTTTTTCCTCCTTTTTTTTCCCCTTCTTTTTTTTTTCCTTCTTTTTTTTCCCCCTTTTTTTTTCCTTCTTTTTTTTCTTCCTCCTTCCCCCCTTTTCCCCCTTTTTTTTCCGAGGGGGGGGGGGGGGGCCTGGATCCGCGCCTGTCATCACTCTTGTTCGCTTATAAAATGCAAGCGTGCTCGTCGTGCTGAGTTATTTGCTATAACTATGATTGCAATGAAAACTTCCATTCATTTGGAAATCCAGAACAATTAACTTGTGGTGCTCTAAAGGTGTTCCATGACTGTCAAAATATATTTAACACTTTCTTTATATCTTTACATATGTACATTCATGAATGACTTCATCACTAACGGTTCGCTTAAAAATACGATCGTGCCGAGTTGTTCGCTACAACCAATATTGTTCTGGATTTCCAAATAAATGGAAGTTCACATTGCAATAATTGCAATGTGAACTTCCATTATTTGGAAATCAAGAACAATTAACTTGTGGTGCTCTATATGTGTTTCATGACTGTCATAATATATTAAACACTTTCTTTATATCTTTACATGTTTGTATTACTTTATCACTCTCGTTCGCTTACAAATAACAACGTGCTCTTACAAATAACAATGTGCTCATTTTACTCCGTATTCATATGAATACAATATAAATGTTTTTAAAAATCCACATCACCACCACTGTTACATGCAGGCCCCGCAGAACGTTTTTCAAAGTTGGTGGGGGAGGGGCTAAAGTATTTACGATCAGGTAGAGCGTAGCGAGAGAAGCAAGTGAAGCGTAAATTGGCTTGGGGTCCAGGGGAAAAAGCCCCAGCGGGGGGGGGGGGGGGGGGGGGGGGGGCAAGGGGCAGACCCCTCAGAAGCTCAGGAGTTCAGTTTAGGAATTTAATTACGGTCAGATGAGCATATTTTGATACCTTAATTATACCTTATCACTTATTAGCCCGGGGTCCAGGGGACTGAGCCCCATGAAGCTCATTGGTCAGATGATTTAATTGCGGTCAGATAGGCATATTTTGATACCTCATTAATTTTGTGGCACTGGCAGGTCACAATTTTTCTTTCTTCCTTTCTTTCTTTTTTAATATCTTACACATACTTTTTTCTAGTGAGGGGTTGGCTTGAGCCCCCAAGCCCTGCCGTTCCTCGGGCCCTGACATGTGCCCATGCCTTGAGCCATAATGTATGGCCGTACAGAGGATTTTTTCATGTTGGGGACCGGGGTAAAATGCAATGAATTATTGATAATTTAGTGCATTTTCTTAATTCTTTTTTATTTGTGGAAACTGCCCCTACCCTAGCCCCCGCTGCGTACAGTCATGGTTCAGTGGCAAAGCAATGGCCTCGTAACTGTGAGGCCCCAGGATCAAAACCGTGTCGATGTGCCATATTAGTGCCCTTTTGTGGGGCATTAATCCTCATTACTGTCATTTATGACTTAAGGGCGCAGGTCCCCTAGTTGATACCGGTAAGCATATTAGCATACACATGCTTTAGCAGTCACGCAAAACAAACACTGGCAAATCATTATTCAATAATATCTGAGAATGTATACTATTATCTAGATCTATTAGGTATAAATCATTGTCAAACTAATTCCATAAATTGGGGTAAAAATAAATATTCCAATGTTATGAGCGACAGTTTATATTCTCATAAACATATTGTTTTTTTTTTATCATAATCATACCTTGTCACATCAATACTATATCACATCGTTTCTTTTCATAAAAAACATTATATTCTTGCATCACATGATATCGTATCTTATAATAAATATTTTGTTATCATTTCGTGCAATGTTAAGTCAGGTGATATCACATGAATGCAATAACATAAAGATATCATATTTAGATCATGATCATATTATGTTATGTAATATCAATCATGTCGATCATATCTCCTTTGTATCATGATATTCATATGATTGTGCTGATAAAGTGTAAATTTGATTTCTTCAATCGTTAAGAGTTCATTTTAGTGAACAAGTGTTGGCGTAATTATATGTCGCAATTATAATTTTGAAATATGAATGTAAATGTATTTATTCTGTTATATACTGGCCCGTTTCCTTGGTCCAGTGGTCAAGACACTGGCGTTCTAATCGCCAGTGACCCTTGTTCGATTCCCGGCGGAGTCATTTTTCCACATTCGCAATCAATTCCGAAAAGGGATGACAGCAACTCAAAGTATCTAGGAAATCAATGTTTTTCCTGGCTTTGTATTTCTTTTTCTGTGGCGTGGGAAAGTGGTGTACCCTATTGTTCAGTGCTATCGTAACCAGACAGTAAGGTGGCAATTTAATTGTACTGAAAATTCAATAACCAACAGATGGAGCGTTCTCTTTTATACAAATATTGTTGTATTAACCAAAAAAAATCCATACTGTAGGCCTAGGCATACATACATGTACATCACACGCAATAGATCCAAGATTTAATACCAGAGAGCCCCCCCCCCCCACGTTCGGAATCGTATAGGGCTGCTGCTATTATCTCTCAGGAAAGTACCCTATATTACATGTACATTCTTTTACCGTGTGCGTAGGCCATTTAAGGGTTTTTAGAGGGTAGATTTTCCAAATACGAACTTGTTTATGATGCTTAAAATTTGTTTTTAATGTGATGGTAGTTGACATAATAGCACAGGAAACCATTTATCCAGGCGCGTATCAAGGATTTTCCAAAAGGGGGGTGGGGTGGGTGGGGGGCGGAAATTTGAAAATTGCACAGACCGTTATTTAATTAATTTAAGATCCCAATACCGACAAGGTCATATTAGAAGCACCGTACCGGTAACTACCAGCGGGCACAGGCTTTGGAAAGGGGGCAGGCTCACGCCACGTCACCGTCACTTTAAAGGTACCGGTAATACAAAGTTTTGGGAAATTTTGAAAATTGGGTGGATAGTGATTTTTTACAATTTAATATGTTTAGATGCCCCTGTGGATGTAGAATAAGCACTAGAAAATTTAGCCCCTAAAACATTTCTGCTTTTGAGAAAAATTGAATATAAAAATTTACCGATGCTCCCGGTAGATTTTGATAAATTTCAAATTGCGCCTACGGCCGTACAATGGTAGCTGCGACCATGAACATTTCAGAATATGTAGTTGTATATATGTAGTTGTAAATGTATATGTAATTTCCAAACGGAAATAGCTAATTGGTCGATTTTAGACAAGAAACATTGTTTTAAAGCTTAATTAATATCTTTACCTTGACAGGGAGCTATACAACCTAAAGAGTTTATTATTTACACTCTCTCAGAGTAGGTTAGATAGAAACTTTATAATGGAAAAATATGCATCAGTATTAAAGGGAAAGTCCACCCTGAAATTAAGTTAGTTTTAATAGGAGTAGAAAAATGAGAGAAACAAGTCAGTGAAAGTTTGAGCAAATTCCGATTAAAAATAAGGAAGTTAGGATTTTTGAAGTTGTGATCAATCAAACACAAATTGGCAACTCTATGACGTATCATGCGAGCTCAACTTCCATTTGCTCAGTACTAAAAAAATCTAAAATTTTCATTTTCCCTCAAGAAAAATTTCAACCATACATGCACCCTAAATATAATAATTGCAAATATGTTTCTATACTCCCCCTGCAAGGAACAAATATATATTCCGTCATCAATAACGAAGAAAACATGATTTTATGGAATATTATGCACAAAGCAAATGAAGGAGAGCTCGTATAATAAGTCACAGAGTTGCCAATTTGTATTTGATTGATCACAACTTCAATAATTCATAACTTTCTTATTTTCATTCAGAATTTGCTCAAACTTTCACTCACCTGATTTTCTTATTATTCTGCCTCTATCGAAACAAACTTATTTTGGGGGTGGACTTTCCCTTTAACAAACTTGACACTTCTGTGGCGTGGGAACTGGTGTACCCTATTGTTCAGTGCTATCGTAAACAGACAGTAAGGTGGCAATTTAATTGTACTGAAAATTCAATAACCAACAGATGGAGCGTTCTCTTTTATACAAATATTGTTGTATTAACCAAAAAAATCCACACTGTAGGCCTAGGCATACATACATGTACATCACACGCAATAGATCCAAGATTTAATACCAGAGACCCCCCCCCCCCCACGTTCGGAATCGTATAGGGCTGCTGCCATTATCTCTCAGGAAAGTACCCTATAGTACATGTACATTCTTTTCTTTTACCGTGTGCGTAGGCCATTTAAGGGTTTTTAGAGGGTAGATTTTCCAAATACGAACTTGTTTATGATGCTTAAAATGTGTTTTTAATGTGATGGTAGTTGACATATTATAGCACAGGAAAACATTTATCCAGGCGCGTATCAAGGATTTTCCAATAGGGGGGTGGGGTGGGTGGGGGGGGGGCAGAAATTTGAAAATTGCACAGAACGTTTATTATTTACAATTTCATAACTTTAGACTTAGATTTTAACCACGACAACGATCATTGAATATTGTAGGATCGCATATATGCTTCCAATATGTTCATTTGAACCAAATTCATGATCCAATACCAAAACTTTGTATTACCTTTAACTTTGAAATTTGTTATCCAATGAATACAAAAGATATATCATGAGTGCTTTTACATGAACCCTTTTTAATAAATATATTATGCTGGATTCTGATCCAGATTGCACAACCTAAAATGATAAGATGGTCATCCCCAATGCGCTTGCAGTTCTCAATTATGTGCACCCCTTCCTCCTTATTCCCTCATCTATCGTTACCGCCACTGCCATTGACGTATATGGCCGGCCCCCTCTTCAATAAAGGCTCCCAAGACTTCTGGAATAACCCAAAATGTTCTGATCACCATACTGCCGCTCTTTGGAGGGGCCGGGCGCGGCCTTTTCAGAAGTTTTTTTAGGCACTACGGCTGAAAATAAACAAGCATGCTAATAATTTTTGAAAATAAGCTGAATTCCGACTCAGTTTTGCACAACCTAAAAAATAGCCCTCCCTCCATGCACGCCCATTTCACACGCACATACCCCCCCCCCCACAAGTTTTTATGCTTTTATAGAGCCTGTTAATAAGTTCACAAAACTTCTCTTTTGGCATGCCATAGATAATTCTTCACTTTCTAATATTACTTTTCTCTATCATTCAGAATTGGAGGTGCATACCATTAAACAGATTGCAGTGAAAACCAAGGAGGATAAATGGGCCATCAAATTTCTCAACATTCTTAGTGCTGTCAATCAACTTCTCCAAGGAGGAGGAGGGGGTGGAGCCTCAAGATGTGTTGTCAGGGAGATGCCCATATTTGGGAAGCCCTTTGAGAGTGGAGCATTTGTGGTAAAAAAAATTCAACATTTCCCAGCTCAACTTTGAAATATAAAGGCTGATGCTTAACTTACACATAACATTAGATTGAGAGGATTTCATTTTTAAAGTAACTCTTCTAAATGAAAGGGCTACCTAAGCTAGTACATGGCGAAGCCGAAGCGCTTCAATTTTAAGATATGAATTGGTTAATCAAATGTAGAATCAACAAATTTACCATGCCTGATCCCTGAGGTTGGACACTCATAAAAGCTAATATTTTTTAAAAATTTACTATGATACAAGAAAAGTTACTTTGATACTTGAATAGGTAAATTTTATTGTTAATACATGAGAATCAGCAAATATCACATGATTAAGTATATTGTTATCCTTGCATCATTTTGACAAATTGCAAAGTTGGTTAGAAGATAATATCTGATTGTTGAATTGGCTGATCTCTATGAAACTTTGAAAAATTAAATTTGTTATTTCTCAAGGTTGGTAAAATAGACGAGATCAGATACAACAGTCGTGATCAGCTAGAGGTGGTAGAATTCAAGACCAGGACCAAGTCTAGGACTGTTCCTTCAGCAGCTCAAAGAAAGACCCACAAACTACAGGTAAACATGGTCACTATTTATGCATAACCATGAGCGTGCATGTCCCTGTAGGATAATGAAAAAGCTTTTCCAAATTGAGAGGGGCAATGTTATTTCAAGCCCAATCCTGGCAGTTGCTCATATCTGTCTGTAGATAAACAGGAAATCTGAGTAAAGTATGGTTTCAGCAGACCAGTTGACTAATATATTCAAATTTTATAATGACTAGGAAGCTTGCTAGATCTTGCCGTGCATAGCAATAACTATATAAGATGGATGCAATCCTGTCTGTTTAGGGTCAGAAGGGCATTACCGGTAACTCATATACTAAACATAGAGTTAATCTCCTTCTGGCTCTGATGATATGTAAGCTTACCTGTAAATTTATCTTATTCTTGGAAATCATTGGAATAAACAAGGTTCCTTATTTCCAAACAAAGTGGAAGCATTCTCGTTTTCTGTGCCATAAGTATCTAGAAGTTAAGTTAGTTAGGTGGCTAAAAAACCCAAAGGTAAACTCGCTATTAATATGTCGTACTTCATGTGTCATTTCAGATTAATAAAAGAAGATGCACTTTCTCAATTTTCCATGTTTTGATTCTCATTGACCCTGATAGGTAATGCTGTACAAGCAGCTGTTTGATGAAGCAGTGTGTGGCCTTCTAAAGAAAGAAACCATCTTAGAGACGATCGGCCTCGACCCTGACGCTTCCGTCAACGACGAAATCGCCGCTCACGCCCTCATGATGGACCTGACGCTACCAAAGTTTGGAGACTACCTCAACGCCATGCTGGAATGCTTCCAGTTCCTCTCCAAGATCGACTCCCTCGCCGTTGAGTACTCCTCGCAGGATGACAAGGAGCCTTTCGCGGTCCACGAACACGACTTCGACCCCGTCTGGCTCAAAGATACGCTGGATCACTACAATGCATTCTGGGTAGGCGAGAGGGAGGTGGAAGGGGTGGACGTGGAGGAGGTGTGGAAGTGCAAGTACTGCAACTACAAGGAGGCGTGCGACTGGAGACAAAAGATGCACGAGAAGTGCCTCAGTAGGAAGTCTGCCAACAAGGTGCAGATGAAGATGACCAAGTGAAGTGCAGATGAAATAAAATGCAGAGATGAACAACAAGGTGTCAATTAAGTGCCTGGCAGAAAGGCCTAAACGTGAACATTTACTCAAATTTTTATTATTTTCATTTCGGAATGTAAGGTTAAAGAAATAATTTAGAGAAGTTACATTTATTGCCATTAAAGATGTAAGGCCTGCACACATTACACAATCTGACTTTGATTCAATTTTGGAAGATTTTGCAATAGCATTTGATACAAACATTCAAACATGTTAAATCTTTAATGACTAAGGATCTGAGTAGTCATATGATTAAGAATATCTAAATTCAAAGGGATTTCATGCTTCCTTGGTAGAGGGAAAGCTAAATTGGCTCAGAATCGGTGACGTAGGACGGTGGTGCGATAGTCTACGATTTGAAACCAATTTGGCTTTTATTCTGACTTGAAGAGTTTGATACACTAACATTCTGGCTGTTAGTATTATTATCATTATCTAGAAGCTGAATCAGGAACATGTTTGTTTAGATTTCCTATCTAATACGATTGTTATTTCTTCAAAAATCGGATCGCAGGATGATATCGTAGGTGATATCCTGACTGAAATGTGTTGTGTGGAAATAGTCTTAAAAGGCCATCTGTTGGCTGTGCATCTGTTCATGCCCTTCTACCAGCCTAACAACATAGGCTGGGCAGTTTTATCCTATTGTATTGAAATTTTGTTGATTTGATGTAAGATACTGGTGGACTTTGTTGGCAAATTTCCTTGTTAATTCTATTTTATTCTTCTTATCTGTAATATTACCCTTCTACATGTATGTATGTCTTTCAAATTTCAAACTTTTTATACTCTGTATGTATTGTATGTTTTTTCATGAAGAATGGAATAAATACCAATACGAATGATAAGGCATAGTGTTGGATAATATATTAAAGTAAATTTAGATTTAATTTAAATATTAATTAATTAACGTGCTCTAGCCAAAGAGAAATTCCTTTGAAAACATATGTAGATTTAGAAATAAACAAGCAAAGTGTGCATGCTATGAATGTGTAGAACAGTGCTGGTCCAAAGCACATTTAATTTAAAAATAGCTTGGAATTCCATGCAATAGAAAAGGCTGTATTTTAAAACAAAGGGAGTCGAGATTTCACGCTGGAAATTGGTGTAAGCTTCAGCAATGTAGAATATACTACCGCTATACCTTTTTATAATGGTAAAAAATGTAAGTGTTTCAAGTTCCAAGACTGAAATTTGTGGAGAGAGAAGGGTGGAATGCGAATCCAATGAGCTTAATTCACAGTAAACATTTGCTGATTCAAAATCATAATTCTCTTGAATTGAGAAATCATAATGTTCATCTACAAGATGCACTGTTGTAGCTAATGTAAATGTTAGCCAATTTTTCAATTACTATAGTATAGATAGAACATATTCTGAAAGCTGTAAACTGGTATATCCTTTGTTTATTGCCTTGCGCTATATAATATACAAGTTACAATTGAAAAAGGGTTTTGAAGATTGTAAATTGCAGTAATTTATATTTATGCAGAACAATAATATATATATATTATGAGTGGAAATAAATTAACAAGTGTTTGTCTGTAAAATAGTGTAAATATTGAAGAACTTTATAAAGATATTTTTTCCTTTTTGTAACATGACCAACTGTACTGTGCATAAAACCTGCCTAGAAATTTAGTATTAAGAAATTCAGTTCTAAGCTGTAATTTTCGGTTTTTATGATGTAGCATATGAAGTAAAAGTGTGTCAGAAAATATTGCAATTTTTATCTGTGGAATAATAAATAGATTTTTTTGTGCAGAAAAATTCATAAACATATCTGATGGTTCTTTCTAGTTAATATTTGAGTTGATGAAATCTGTTTGTCAGAGTACCAGGTACAAATGAGCAGATACAAAAAAATTGTGTTAACTTTTGTGGGTTTGCATGTATACTAAAATACACATAAAAACAGACAATATGAGGTCATCACGAATCATTTTGATAGTCACCACAGACACTCATTTTGTTATATTAAATTACAATTCAACAAGTATACCATAGTGGTAGTGGTGGTTATTTTACCATACTGCTAAGAAAACATAATGCTTAGTAAGTAGCCAGAGGACCGGCGGCTTAAGGTCCTCTCTGTGAGACCTGGTAATGAGGATTAATGCCTTACCAAAGGGCACTAGCGCATCGCCTTGGTTTCGAACCCGGGTCACCGGATAACGAGACCACTGCTCTACCGACTGAGCCATTGCGCTTCCTCAACCACTATACATTGACTGCACTTGTGACAGACCCATATAAATCGTTAATATATCACAGGAAGCACTTTTCAATTCATAACTTTCTTGTTCCTGTCTGATTTTTATACTATCAGTGCATGTATATTGTTTTTCCAGATGAAATTTCTTTCATGAAAATTGTCAGGTATTTCTTTTTACAAGAACAGAACAGACAACCACGATAAACTACAATTGATACACATCGATGACATCACATATTTAGTTTTATCAATTTTATTTTAAGCATAATTGCACAAGATAGGTACTTCCATAGAGTTATATTCATCATTATACAGTTCTAATATGACTAATAAAGTACATAAGAAATTGGAAAAAAGGAAAACCTGTACAGACGTAACATACATTTTGATGTCACATATAGTTCTTCCGATAGTCTCAAGTTCTTGTCTCAAAGTAAAATAGAATTCACAAGACATAAAAAATAAACATGTTTTACTACAAAGAAAGAAACTGAGAGCTAGAAGAGCGTAACTTAAAATAACAGCCTTCTCACTCTCAATGGTCAAACGTATTGTTTCTGGCATTTTATAAATCAAATAAAAAATATATTCAATGTTAATTTAGTTTTCTGATACAGAAGTTATAACTTGTTTTGATTCAAATTTGACAGTAATAGCCTTTAAAATGAAAGGATGAAAAAAAAAAAATCCCATCTTCATGTGACATTGTTTTATCACATTAATATTGTTTAATACAAGATATACATATACAATACAATTGTTGGGGTATTAGATATCAGGAATGACTTGTACATGTTTTATTCAAAGTGCCCTAAGAAAAAAAAAGAAAAAAAGAAACTCTTTAACCCATTGCCTATAGGACCTAAATTGTTCCTTTATGAAACCTAGGATGAGAATTCAGCATCTAACAGGGCAAGACGTAAAGTTCAATACCCTGCAGGAATAAAACAACTAAACCAAAACATAAAACTGAAGTAATGGATATGATTACAGGAGGAGAAGACAAAACAAACAAAACTGGGGAAAAAATAAAGACAAATGCCATTTCCTAAACTTAGTGGCACAGCCACAAAGAAATTTAAGTTGACTCTACACTAATGACAACAGAAGGTACAGGACTTGAGTTTTACACTGTGCAATATGAAAACTTTGGTTCCAGGTAGGTACAATTTATACATTGACATTTCTGAAAGGCCATGTGGCGCATTACTTTTGGTTTATACTGTATAGGCAAAATTGATGTAAGAGGCATTATTAAGTGAGATACACAAATCTATAAATCAATATGAGCATATCGTGAGCCACATGACAATGAATTTATGACATTAAAGCCCCTCTAAAGTGTTTGGAGCCCCAAATTCACAAACAAATTTAGGCAAAAGTTTAAATCACTGACTACAGCACTTTTTATCTCTACAATGCCCCAAAACTAACATCAATAGACATTTATAGTAGACATCATATATCATGTGTAGTAGGTCAAATATAACTAAAGGACAAATATGACCATAATTTGAACCATACTCGATTTAGGCCACTCAAAATGTAGCCAAATACTTTCTCTGATTGGCCTTTCGGGCAATTAAAACTCTGAATAGTTCTGAGACACAAGCATAAATACACGATTTGAAATCATGAATAGAATAACAAGAATAAATTCCTAAATAAAAGCTTAAGTATGCAATGAAATAAAGGGTTTAATGCCTTCATCATTGTCATCAGGCAATTTCAGATCTACCAAAATGATGGGATATACTTTCTATAATGATGCTGCTCCTTATATATGCGCTACAATATAGGCCCTGGCACTTCATTTGGGGGTAGTATGAGTCTATATTATCCTGACTATCACTTGAGAAATATTTGGGGAAGATAAGTCTTGTATCCCCATAGCCAGTCTAGGACTGGGAAAAGAGGGATATTTCAAACATAAAGAACTTCTAAGTGATTTTCAGTTAACCTATTTCAAATGGCATATAATGGCAAAGTTTTTATCAACCCATTTGATTTCTTTACTTCTCACACATTATCCTTGAGGTGTAATTCAACCTTCTAATGTGGAGATGATGCAATGTTGATGCACTATAAGTCACATGCAACAATTGAAGACAGGTTCAAGACATTATTAAACTCTTTGTAGAATGACAGAAGTTAATACCCTTTTGGATCTCAGCAGATTATATAGTGCTTTCAACTAGTTTCAATTAGTTTCATTCCCTGTAAATTCATTTTTTTAAAATTAATTTGTGATGGTCTTAGCTTTTCAACTACTAGTATCACAGATAATCAGGGATTTATACTGATTCTGCATAACCTGTAGCTGCCCCTTTGGCATCAGAAATTATTTCCACAGAATTTGTCAGGGCACTCTGGCCGTCACTAAATTAACTAGTCCATTACTGGAATACCACATCAGAATACATTGAATGCAAGATTAATTTGTCACAGCCCTGACATTCTGAAATTTGTGGAAATTTCTTGCTATGAAGAGAGCTGTCATACACAATATCAAAAAGTTTTTGATTTTAGAGTTCATTCCTTGATCATAGCTAGCACCTTTGGATTTATTCATCATTGAATACACTTTAATTGTTATGCAATACTCGACCATCCCAATAAGACTCTCTTTGAGAACATTAAAAATGCAGCATTATTCTCTGACAACTGCTTTCTCCATAACTACCACCAATTTGATCAGATTTCTTTCTGTGGACAGTGTTTGTAACTTTAACAAGACTTGGCCAAATTTCTTATCATTTTGATGATTCCAGAACCTTGCAATACACACAAATTCTTATATGCTAGATGATCAACCTTTCTGGTCGATTCCACACCATTTCTTTCACAATGCAATCGCATGACCAGAACTCAACTTCATCTTTAAAGCTAAAGACCAGTTATGGTCATGCGATTGCATTGTGAAAGAAACGTTGTGAAATCAATAAGAAAAGGTTGATCATCTAGCATAGATATACTGCAAGGTTCTGGAATCATCAAAATGATAAGAAATTTGGCCAAGTCTTCATAAAGTTAGAAGCACTGTACACAGAAAGATGTATATGGGACTACACACACGTGCGCGACACGTGCATTTCATATCTCCCAACAGGCGAGAGATACACTAATTTACCAAATATATCAATTAGTAGGCGGTTTCCCGTCAAATTTTTTATCATCATGTAATATTCAAAACATATTCTTTCACATGATTGGTAATGAGAGCTTCCATTTCATTTTTTGAAATTGGGGCGTTTCCAATACTGGTCTTTTCCTTTAAGTCTAAACAGAATATAATCATCATACACATGACATAGTGTCTGTTGAGAGCGAGAAAAGAATTAACTCTAGTAAACGTATATGAGTTAACACCTTTCTGGCTCTATGCAGATGATATAATCCATGCAAGATTCAATCTCAGGAAAACCCAAATGACGTGAATGAGTTGCTGAACATCTTGGCGCAGCCCTTTTCCTTCTCTATGGCTTGCCCTAAGTATGCATGCATGTGACACATTTCATTTCACTGACCAGGAAAATTTGATTTATCACATAGGCTCTCAAATTGTAAGTTGACCTTAAATTTTCTTTTCCCGGACGATGTTTATAAAATGCATCCGTTACCCATCAGGCATAAGCACCCACGGTGTCTTTAAATCGTTAAGTCACCGGTGGGTGAATGAAAAGTTTTATACCGGTAGTCCGATAAAGTGGTCGTCATCAATCGTTGTCTGAATCGGAGCTGTCGTCGTCTTCTATATCAGGCATTGGAAATCGCAGGATGGCAGCCAAACCAGTCAGCTGATTGAGTTCTGGGAGCAGGAAAAACAGTGAGGCAAACAAGTAATTTATAGGCCTGGGTTAGACATAAAGACCTCATTCATTGGAATGAATACTTATATCAAATTGACAATAAAGGATAACAATTTTAGGACTTTAAAAATTATCCTCCATCAAAAACAAAGTGGCAAATTCTCACGATTTCCTCCATGATGCAGCTCTTCATACCTCTGTTTTGTGCAATATGTTCCATAAAACTCAATTTCCTCTATTTTCCTTCTCACCCCTGTACCCATTGAAACATTAATAGACATAAGTACCTACAAGTTCCTGTTTCATGAGGTAGGTTTATTCCTTTAATATCATACAAAATTTGGCTACAGAGTCAAAATTTGAATTGGAATATCGTTAACAATACTTGTTCAAACCATATACAACTTTTGATTTCGTCCACATCAAAATATCGTCAGGAACATCCACATAATACATAAAATTATAGATCGTCTACCAACAAGTAAAATAAACTTATATCAAGGATTGAATGTGATGAATACTTACGTTCTCCTGAGACATGCAAACTAGAAAAGACTTTGACATCGCCTCCATTATCTCTTACACTCTCTACTAGGTCAACATAGACACGCCTCTGTATTACATCAGAAGACCTGTAAATGACAAGTTCCCAAATAAAACCATTTTTGATAATCTATCATATCATAATTAAAGAGAAGGTTGAGTTCTGGGGAGAGGTGAAAAATAGTTTTTGAGCGATATCATGTTATTATGCAAGTGTGGAAGAACATCAGATAAAAACGTTCCCTGAAAAGCATGGCTCTTCAAATGCTTTTATATTCTTAAAATGACAAATAACAGTTTCGAAATGAGGCCTGATTTTTATGCCACATGTTTGTGTAGTCCCATCTTTCTGTGTACACTGCTTGTTACTTTACAAAGGCTGGGGCGCTGGGCCAAATTTCTTATCATTTTGATGACTCCAGAACCTTGCAGTACACACCAATACTTATATGCTTCATGGTCAACTTTCTGATCGATTCCACACTGTTTCTTTCCCAATTTAATCACATGACCAGAACTCAATTTTATCTTTAAGCATAAGATTTTAATGCAACTTTACTTCCAGTGTAATTAACAAAAGCTAGGAAAACAAATATAGAGAACATCTTTTGTGCGCACAATCTTGGTAACATAGACAGCTTCATTTGTTACTTCAAACCTTTAAGTAGAATTTTATCTCGCCAAAAAAGGTTAATCTGAAAACAAGAATACCTAGTTCAACGACCTTCATTAAGAAAATATGATACTGGAGCAAGTCCGTAGTGTATCTCTGCAGTTTTTTCAATATTTATTTTCTTTTAACTAATTAAAAAAAAAAAACTTCTGCACTTATGTATAAATATTAAGTCTACTGCTCAAAAAAAGCATTATACTTTGATAATAACCACAATAGCTCATGGAAGCATGAGCATTGATCAAGTTTAGAAGACATCTCAGGGATAATAAATATAAATTACCTGAATAATTCATCACTGATGAGGAGGGTTTCTATAGCAAGAGCTTCATTGGCTTCCTGTATCTGCTTCAATCTGAAAGGGGTAATATGAAATAATATATTCTTACAGCTCAGAAATTAAAACAAGGGAAACGCTCTCGGCGGTCTCGCCTGCATAACGCAATTCAATATGATAAACCAGAACGTCAATGAGGTAGCGCTCATCCGCATTTCGCAACAACAAATATCGTAAATTTTATGTGGTACACTATTGAACTGGTCAAAAAATAAAAATTTGATGCCCTGGAAGGGACATAATTTAATTTCATTTGCATAAAGTACGAGGGAGAAGAAGCAATTTTTGTTATTTTTGGAATAAATTTGCATAAATTACCATAATTAATCAATGGAGAACAATTTCAAAATTCTGTGTAGAAATTTAGTGAACCAAAGTAAGCTCTACGATTTAAAGCAAACCAAATCAAAATCGGTCAAGAAATGAGAGAGAAGAAGCAATTTTTGTTTTGTTTTTAATTAAATTTGCATAAATTACCATAATTAATTAATGGAGAACAATTTCAAAATTCGGTGTAGAACTTTAGCGTACCAAAGTTAGCACTACCAGATAAAGCAAACCAAATCAAAATCGGTCAAGAAATGAAGGAGAAGAAGCATTTTTTGTGATTTCGAATAAATTTGCATAAATTAGCATAGATAATGAATTTCACCATTCTGTTTAGAAGTTTTAAATCCCCCTCCTAGCCCTATCATATAAAACAATCAGAATCAAAATCGGTTGAAAAATAACGAAGAAGAAGCATTTTGAAAATCTTGATGTTGATGGCACAACAGAGTCTAAGTTTGTTGACCTTAAATGACCTTTGACCTTAACTAAGTGACCTGAAATTCTACTCACAAGATTGGGGAGACTTGATAACCCTATAGTCAAAGTTTCATTGACTCAGAACCTATATTTTAAAAATTATATCAAAAATTCAAAAACTTAACCTTAGGTTAAGTTTTTGATGTTGATGCCGCCGACGCCGGAAAAGCGGCGCCTATGTCTCGCTTTTAGCTACGCGGGCGAGAAAACTAGCGTAAAATAAACAATGTCACCACTATGTTTGATCAACAGCAAGTCATGTTTACAACTGGTATCTGTCATAAATTCAAATTATGTGACATAACTTATTTTTTTAAATTTTCAGTCTACATGCAATCCACTATCTTGCCTAATCAGATTGACTTTAAGAAATTATTACACTATGTTTACACACGCTTCTTCTTATGATACGTTATATTATGTTTGTCACAATCATTAATTTTTCTCAATTATTTACTATCTTCATTAAATAAGAAAGAAAAAGAAGAAATAAAGTTTCCGCTGAAGCACCTCCAGTGTTAACCGACTGCCAATGAGGCTCAAGAATCCTGTGATACGTATAAGGAAATGAGAAAACGTAGCAGTAAACCAGTTTAAATCATAGTCCAGGGGGGTGTTTCACAAAGACTAAGATCGACTTTAAGTCAGATTTAACTATGCCAGACTGTTCATGCCACTGGTTGCTCTCACTATTGGTCTCTCAATTATGATCTTTAGATAATATTTTTTCCTTCAATAACAAAAAGTTGTGACCACGATTTAAACATCCCTTGAAAAACCAATGCCAGGAATGGTTAGAGGAACTAGTGGCCATGAATGGCCCGCCATAGTTAAGTCCAACTTAAAGTTGATTTTAGTCTTTGTGAAGCAGGCCCCTGGGAGTGTAAACTCACCCGTAGAATGCTCTGTCTGGCTCTGTCGATAACATTGCATAGAACGTATCTAACGCTTTCACCTCCCCTGACGCTTTGGTGTCTGCCAGCTTGGAAGTCACTGCAGAGTCAGTGAGGATTTCTGGTTCAAGAACAAAGGATACAAAAGTTTGATACATACTTCAATTAAATGATAGAACTGAGAAGTCAATACAAATGAGGAAAAAAATTAATAATAAATGATAATAAAAACGGTGCTTATAAAGCGCTTACCACCGAAGTCTCTAAGCGCTACGTTAGAATGTCTAAAGATGTTTAATATTCAAGTATCTTGGCTGACTCAAGAAGAAGAAGAAAATACAACATGAAGACAAAAAATATGTAGGGAAGCAAAAGACAAGGAGAGAGCACAAAAAAGGGTCACATGACCTTGACATTGTTGCTTTCCCAGTGAAATATAAATTTTTTATTAAGACTCCAATCCAATGTTCTGAAGCGCTGCCAGGGATGCCAGTAAGAATTGATCAGAGGGCCTGAAAATCACCTAGAATGAGCTATTTTGTACACAAAAAAGCCTAAACTATGGTCTGAAAATAACTCACCAGGGCCTGAATTCAGGCTATTGCCTGAAAATTGGCATCCCTTAGTATTGACGTACCTTTGAGAGAGTGTTTGTGACCCGAGGAAGTGTGGACCTGAACGAATCTGGATTTGTTCTCCAGGAGGATCTTGAGATCTTGTTTCACGGCCTGCTGGAACATGTATTCACAAAACTGATCCTGTACAAACAAATGAGGTAGGAAGGTAAAAAAAGACTATCACATTATTATGTAAGATAATTTATATATTTTTCAATGATTCTATACGCTTGATGTATTTCTAAATGGAAATCTAGCGGGTCAATATGACATATTTTTGTTGGTATATATTGAATTTAAACTTCCTCACACATCTAAACATCAATATTGATTTTGATTATTAATGAGAGAACAATGACCTAAAGGAATTAAGTACATAATATTATTGCAATAAAACCTTTAAACATTAAATTTATGGATGATCTCATAAAATTGCTTACAAGGCTGCCTTCTTACCTTAACAAAGCCAGGGCTCCCGATTAAGACACATTTGACAACTGGAGAGGAAAACAAAAAAATAGTTATTTGCATTTTCATTCTACAAAGACACAAACAAGAGGTAGACTTTCTTGTGCTCACATCTTCTTAAAATATGAACATTACTACATGATCCCATTTTCCTTCAGCTAGTAATTGCAATGTTTTATTTATGAAAATATCAATCAAATGTGTTTATCAAGTAAATGTACCTACCGTATTTGCCGGCGATAAGGCCGCAGCGCAGTATAGGCCGCACCCCGATTTTGACATTTAACAAAAAAAAAAAAAAAAAAAATTGTTGAAGTCAGGATTTGATCTCTTGCGTACAAATGTTGATGTGACTAAAATCTCCGCCTTAAGACTGCTCGGCCATCCCGCACTGATGCTAGCATATAGAGTTTTCTGTGATGTATACATTGCGCTTCTCTCGTGTATTGAAATGGATTCAAAATAGCGACTTCGCGTGCTGGAAGCTTCGCGGCAGCTCCGTTAAACGGGCCCTTCTTTTACTTTTGCAATGCATTGGCACGAACTTAGATCAAGATCTATCGGCAGATGTTGTTTTTGGAAGTTTATTTTCGTCTCCATGTCAACAATGCAAGATAAAATTTTCGGTAAGATGTGTGGAAATGTATAGTTATTATACCGTTCGTAGATCTAGTCCCATATGTGCAAATTCGTGCTGGTTTTGACTTACTTTTTCAATTTTTTTTACTTTTTCGCCGCATAGGCCGCACCCCGACTTTTTGATATTTTTCTCTTCCAAAAATACTGGGCCTTTACGCCGGCAAATACGGTAACCAATAAAAAACTATTGGATGAAATGTTATTACCACAAACAAAAGAAGACAATTCTCAGTGATGGTACTGGTGACATTTTGTTTGTACTAACTACAGTAATCCCTATATAACTATCCCATTATTAGGCCTTAAAAAAAGCTGTTGTATTGCCCTTTGCGACGACCCAAAAATCTTGTAATCTATGGTCGGCTTTAAAAAAAAAAAAATCTTTTACCGTTTTTTATTTTTAAAAATGTATTAGAGCATTAAAAACTGAGAAATATCAGTCCACAGAGGGAGAAAAAAAAAAGATGATTAACGACCGACCCACTCATGTTTAGGCACCTGAAGGGCAATAGGCCTTACTTACTATCAAAGTTTATATGTCTGAGTATGCCTTGCATGACAGCATCATAGAACTTGACGAGTCCCTTGTCGTGCTGCCCACAGAAGCCTTTCCGTTTCCTCGGGATGCCGTGTTCTATCTTGGCCCGTACCAATGTCATACTTGGCGTGACCAAACAAATGTGGGCTAGTCCCTCCTGCATGACCACAGCTCCGACGTCTGCACTCTGGGCGGGGTCGCAGGCCATGTCTAGAGAGGGAGGGATAGGTGGGGGACAAAGTTGAATTTTTTTATTTTAAAGATTCATTTGCTATTGATAGAATCGTGAATTAATATATAAAATAGACCAAAATAGACAATGCAGTGCATAATATGCATTTTTTTAGCTTATTAAAATGGAAATTAGATTTATCAGCCATTATTTCTTCCAAGTAAGTTGCACTGAAATCTCTAGCATCAACATTTGGCAATGTTTGGCACTCTAAGATCTTCTGCCAGAATCTAGTCCTGAACTTTTTGTGGGTTGCATCATGGTCCTGGGATGGCTACTCTTAAATTTGACACTTTCTTAGTCAATAACCGATGGCTTTCCACATTTTTTGAACTAATTGTCAACTCCATCTTGGTTTCCCCTGATTTAAAAAAATCTCATCTGATATTTTCATCTTGATCCGTTTCCAAAGATCCATCACAAAGTTTGCCCCAACTGCTCTCAAGCTATGAGAATATAGATAAATGTAGATGAAATTGGAATATATGAAATTAACAGTCAATGCAAAAAGAACATCCTACTTCAAAGAGGCTCCTCTTTCCTTTTACACGGCGGCTTGGGGCCAATTTGCCCTTGAAATGCCCCCAAAAGAACCCCCCCCCCCCCCCAAAAAAAAAAAAAAAAAAATTGCATAGAGGTCAATGCAAAACAAATTAATGAGTGTTATTTTCATGCAAGCAAGCTTGAAAAGTAGCCCTGAAATTTTTTCAATATTTGTTTCCCTGGCAGCTAATGGCCTCACCTACCATCCCAGTATAGCTTCCGGAGTGAGCTGCTAAAGGGATTACTCCATCAAATATCAAGTAACAGGGGGGTGTTTCACAAAGATCCTTAGTTGAACTTATCTCTAAGTTGGACTTAACAATTATGGAAAGCCTTTAGCATCTATTAAAGTATTTTGTAAAATTTATTTTAAAAGGCATAAAAATGTTGATTCAAATCATTCATATTTTTTATTATCAAGGAGATTTCATTTTCTTGATGTGGAATTTATAAAAAGTTTAAAATACTCGAATTTTCCCTTTTGAATATATTTTATTTTAAGGCTACAAATGGCTCTCCATAATTTTTGAAGTCCAACTTAGAGTTAAGTTTGACTTAGGATCTTTGTGAAACACCCCCCAGAAATTGATCTTACCTATCCTGTCCAAGGCCACTATGTCCCATGACTTCTTGGCCAGAGTGAACTTCCTGTTGAGCTCTAGATCCAGAGTGTGGTAGGCTCCCATCTAATGGCAAAGAAGATAGCAACAATACTAATCTCATTATTCAAATCAAGTTAATGTGTTCGGGGATCAGGGATCACACAGCTATACTCCAGATTGGTTTGGACAAGCGTGTGTAGCTGAATCGTCCAAACCCATACCTGTTTTTAACTGTTATCGGCAAGGACTTTGGATGAGAAAATGAAATAATTTTCAATTATTCTGCATTTGGGACTTCACTTTATTGAGAATATGGACGAAATGCAAATCTGAAGAAAATAGTAACCCACATTTATGGTAAAGATCTTAAAGTGGGACCGTTTCAGAGATTTTCCAACACAAAATCATATCCCATGTTTAGAGATTTCTTGCAAAAAAGCAACCTATTTGAGCTGGACATCCCTGTATAACGTATTAATTAATCAAGAAATCCCTAATTTTTAAGGAACAACTTCTTATTTTTGCCAATCTGATTTTGGATCTAATACTAATTCTGAAATGAAAGGCAACATATCAGATCATCTGATCAGAAAATTGGTCCGACTTACATTTACAAAATAACCCACACTTACCTTGACATACTGATTTTCCTGTATATTACGACCTTTGACCCTGAGCATGCAAGCCTGGGAATCAAAGTCAATGTCTTCCACCGAGATAGTGAGAGTCGTCCTGACCCGGTTACTCGTACTGCTTCCTGTGGAGGACTCGGTGGTCACCTTACGTACCGTCGTCGAGCGTAGGCTGTCACGGGGGGCAACAAGGTTATATGCGTGCCACATGTCTTCTGGGTTTTCCGGGATGAGAGTGAGTTGCCTGTGTAAACATTAAAAATTGTGATAACTAGTTCATTTAGAGAGCAGGAATCAACATTCATCATTGAATAATGGCTTTTACTTAGAGTTTTAACTCGACTTCAGACACATCAAAAATAGGATTAATCAGGCAATGCATGTTATTTTCTCTTTACAATATAAGTAAAGATTCTATCATTTCAATAATGCATGAATATGATAAACGTGTAGATCTAGATCTAGAGTCTAGGCACTCCAGCAAAGCACAGAGAGCCAATGCTAATGCGTATTGACCTCTAGCACTGCATTTGAATACATGAATAGTTAATACACTCACAACACACAAATGCACACAATCATGCCGATGCGGCTGATCGGTAAGTTTGACAGTAGACTCACAATTTGAATTTTTAAATTATTCTTTCTTACATCGGAAAGTTGAGAAAAAAAATTGTGTTTTTACAGCTATTTAGCGCTAGGTGTCATCAATTGTCACTTAAGTAGGGCCTACTGATTTTGAGTGAAATTAGCATGATTATTTGAGCTTTGTAGTATCTACATTGGTGTTTGAAATGTTGAGAATCAATAGCACAGCCACGATAGTAATGCACCTATGCACCGTCCAGGCCTAATTCCCTAAACAAAAGATTAAAATAATTTTTTGAGAAGCACCACTCAATGAAACGACCGGAAGTTTCAACAGGATCACCTCACACTTCCGTATATGCCAACTGATGCTGATGCTGAAGTCTGACTGAGCTAGAAGGAAAATTAAAGATTTTATTCATAGCAAGACCAAGGAAACATAGTTCTACCGTAATTTACATTCTTACTATACATTTGCTTCATTCGATGAGCGATGATGAACCCTCTACATACTACATAGTCTTCACACAAAAATTTATTAGAAAAGATTGTTTTTCATGCAACTCACGCCAATTTCAACGGATGGGGCTACCCCAAGGTCATTCATTGAAAAAGTACTCACCCGGCTCCATCCTTTTCGAAGTCTTTGCTTATGAGTTTCATGTTGATTCTTCTTCCAATAGCAAATTTTCATCGAGAAGAAACGTTCTGCCTATGTAATGAACATTATTTTGGAGCTGAAGCAGCAAAAAACAGACGTTTTACATGACAGCTCCACAGTCTGGGAATGTCGCAAGACACCGGCAAATGGTGAAAGAGGCTGACGTGTGTATTTCATTTTGTAGCGGTCTTTTGAATGGTTTGGCGCGCTGCTGCATGCTACGAACTGATAGTACTGATGGAATGACCGGCAATGTGGGGTCGGAATTAGAGTACAGTCTGAATCAATTTGGTAGATGGGAAGGGGAGGGGCCGGGTGGTAGGGTGGGGGGGGGGGGGGGGGGGGGGGTGGTTGATTTTGGAACCATTCAGAGTCAGAGACGTATAATTATAAAATCCCATCCGTAAAGTGAAGGATACGTTAAAAAGAAAGGAAGAAAAGGGAAAAAAGAAAGGAAGAAAAGGGAAAAAAGAAAGAATTTTTCAGAAGATGGAAAAAGATATAGTCTATAGACAAAATCAGTGTAGATGAATCAATCAAGAGAGATCGATGCAGACTAAAAGAAAATATTTAAAAAAATGAATAAGAGGAAACTGAGCTGAATATATATATATATATATATATATATATATTTTAAAGAGAGGGAACATGAGACTAAAGCGGCCGCAGGACAGATAAAAAGAAAGATGTATCAGAGAGATAGATAGAGAGAGAGAGAAATAAGATTATTATAATAAAATAAACCGTTACATTTTCATATATATGATGAAGAAGGCTCGAGCCAAGGGGGCGGTGGGGGCGGTCGCCGCCCCCCCCCCCAAAAAAAAAAAGAGAGAGAGGGGAAAAAAGTAAGGGGAATTTAATGAAACGTCAAACCTTCCGTGCTTCGCTCGGGAGGGGGGGGGGGGGGGGAACTGAATTCAGATAAGGATTAAGAGTCGAGAACGGTACAACGAATACAACCGCCCCCTAAAATAAAATCTTAATTTGGACCAAAATAACAAAAATCGTACTTTGGAATACCCCTATTTATAAGATTGAAAGGACACTTTCGCAAATTGACCCATATTTTACCATATTTCAAGGACAAGACTCGGCTCCGAGAATTTTCTTCCCGGTTTTCTCTTTTCTCTTTTCCTGACCCCTATTTATCAATTTCGAGAACACCTGTGCACCCCTATTTTCTATATTTCGAGGAACATTTTGTCCGCGGACATTGCTTGAAATTGACCCCTTTTTCCGCGATTTATGGTAACGGTCATGCGGTCCCTAAGTCACATTGAGTGACCCCACCGGGCTATTCCCCCATTCTCAACATCCTCGTCCATACACTACTACCCCCACCAGTGGCGGATCCAGGGGGGGGGGGGGGGCCTGGGGGAAAAAAAGGAGAAAAAAAAGAAGGAAAAAAAAGAAGGAAAAAAAAATAAAAAAATAAAGGAGGAAAAAAAAAAGGGGAAAAAAAAGAAGAAAAAAAAAAAGGAAAAAAAAAAAGAAGGAAAAAAAAGGAAGGAAAAAAAGGGGAAAGATATCAAAGGTATCAAAATATGCTCATCTGACCGTAATTGAATGCCTCTGGACCCCACCAATGGCCCTAAGAAGGGCCCCTGGAAGCTCATCTGACCATAATTTAATGCTTAACACCCCTTAGCCTCCGGGGGCTCCGCCCCCTGGACCCCACGCCAATTCGTGACCTGCCATTGTCGCAAATAAGGTATAAAAATATGCTCTTCTGACCATTATTTATTGCCCAAAACCCCCTGAGCTTCCGGGGGCTCCGCCCCCTGGACCCCACACCAATTCGTGACCTGCCAGTGTCACAAATAAGGTATACATATTGTGCTCATCTGACCATAATTTAATGTATGAATCACCTGAGCTTCTGGGGGCTCCGCCCCGTGGATCCAACACCAAATAGTGTCCTGCCAGTGTCACAAATAAGCTATAATAATATGCTCATCTGACCGTTATTTATTGCCTAAAACCCCTGAGCTTCCGAGGGCTCCGCCCCTGGACCCCACGCCAATTCCTGACCTGCCAGTAGGCCTATCACAAAGAAGGTATAAAAAATATGCTCATCTGACCGTTATTTATTGCCCAAAACCCCTGAGCTTCCGGGGGCTCCGCCCCCTGGACCCCACACCAATTCGTGACCTGCCAGTGTCACACATAAGGTATAAAATTATGCTCATCTGACGATAATTTAATGTCTACAACCCCTGAGCTTCTAGGGGGTCCGCCCCCTGGATCTAACACCAAATTGTGTCCTGCCAGTGTCACAAAATATATCCCCAACATAAAAAATCCCTCTGCCCTTTTGTGGGGCATTAATCCTCATTACTGTCATGTATGATTAGAGGCGTAGGTCCCCTAGTTGATAAGCATAGTAGCATACACATGCTTTAGCAGTCACGCAGTACACACATTGGCAAATTATTATTCAATAAAATCTGAGAATGTATACTATTATTTAGATCTATTATTTTTAAATTATTTTTAAAATAATTCCATAAATTGGGATAAAAAAAAAAAATATTCCACCTTTATGAGCGACATTGTATTTCATTTTCACTAACGATGAATCTACATTGTAATGCAATTTTAAGGTTTCCCAGGTTTATTTAGGAGAATAGAAGATTGATATTGTTAAGTCGTTCGATAACATCACTCAGTTTGATTTGATTGGAGATATATCTCATTAATAAACAGTGTAAAGGCTATGTAGTCTCAAACAAACATACACCATTAAACTTCAAGCTCACTTACACATGAAATATTGCGACACTTTCAAGGCTACTTATTATTTCAAGTTTATATACAAACGGCAACAGCTTCATTATTAAATGTAAGTTCTTCTCACTTTAATCATTGGTCTGGAAACAATTATTTGCCCATTGTTGTATACTATACAATATTATCCATAACGATGAATATACATTGTAATGCAATTTTCAGGAAAACCATACTTGTCATTTGTTATATTTGTTATATGATATTATATTCCACATACTAAGAATCTTGCTCTACGATTGGTCAAATGTAAATCACGTGATGAAAGATAGTTAGCCCACTATTGATGGGAGAAGCAAAAAGTTCGTTACACTGTGTAGATAGTACTACTATCTACACAGTGCAACGCACTTTCACTGAAGATAGAGGTACTATCTACACAGGGCAACGCACTTTCACTGAAGATTATCCAAAGGCGCACTAAAACAGGCGTAATTAAGCGCGCATTACCAATGAGCGCAATTAAAGAAAACACTGTACCCTCAAGGGGTTGGGTTAAACTTAAACTTTTTTGTGTGAATTTGGGCCTAGGTGTCTTTTACGTAGATGCATACACGTCCTTTTCTTTTTGTAGTTAAATTGTTTTAGATGTGGAATATAAAGCAAATAATCACCTTTTGGTTTCAGGCGATGGCAAACTATCATTTTCTCGTCGATCAGAATGTATACGCTATCTTTCCGAAGCGAAACATCCAGATCGCCTCGGAAGTGATAGTTTGTCCCATCACCTTCACCAACGGTAGTTATTTGCTTACTATAGCAAATCGTTACGCTTAATATCGATATGATAATGTGAAGCTGCTATCATACAATGTCAGCAAATTTCTTGACACAATTAGGGTTTTGTTTTCATATTTTATCATCTGTTCGATTTTCCCCTTGTTAGTTCAAATAAAGAGTGAAATATTGTGGATATTTATTTGTGAAAAAAAAAATCACTACTCAAGCTTTCCAGTGATATTGGCGGCTTCGAACCTGGGACATCAAAGGTAACAGCACATCAGTAGATTCTATTGTGCAACCATAGAAAACGGCAGCTGCTTGGAATAATTTGTTGCCAGTTGGGTCTCCATGTAGCACTGAAAACTCCTTGTTAATATCAGTTATAAGCATCCGCGGTACATCATTCTGTTCCGTTGCTTCTTCTCATTATCAACACCACTATCTGCGTCGTGATTCAGAGCAAGGTGTTATCATTTCATAAACATAAGATTGTTATCTGTGCAGCAACTATCATTGGTATGGTAGTATGTTATATCTACACAACATTATCTTCACCATCCGTTAGACACCTGATTAATATCAGTAAGTTTATCACTTTTCATATATAACTTGTTTTACAATGATATCAACATTTCTGTATTATACGAAAATTGCATTAGGTAGCATTCGAAAGTGTGTTTTGTTGAAACGAAAAGTACTCTAATTAAAATTGAGATGTACAGTCGCTGTTTGAGAACGAAATTTAATTATAACTCAGTTTCCACTATATTTCATATGTCACATACGTGTACTTTTGTGTCCTTTTAGTTGGTAATGATATTGATTACTCTAGTTACCATGAAAATGAATATGAGAAAAATGAGATTAAAATAGTGTATGTGACGTTAAAGCGAATACTCGACTTGACTTTGTTTCTGATATCGTTTCTGAATTTGAATCACTTTCAGATAATGTTTATACAACGTTATTTAATTCAAAATGTAAAATTATGTCTAATATCTGGGGTTTGTATCTAAGTTGATCTGGAGTTCTGGTAATTAAATTACATTTACGACTACATTAACTATTTAAAGTCACTCTAAATACATTCTATTCAGGAATAGCAAACTTCAGGCATTTTAGGCATTGATTAGCTTTCCTTTTGGCCTTGAGCTTTTCTTTGTGTTTCTATCTTTTAGTATGAATTTCATTTTAATCTGATAAACTGTATCTTTCATATTTCATATAGCTTATTATACTGACGATTGAGAATCTGGTTTCCTTTTATTTTTCAGAAAATGAAAGTTTTTCCAAGACAAAGTATACAGCTTCTTTGAAAAGGGTAAGAAAATCGTCATTTATTACACTTATTGTTATTGAAATTAAAAGATTACTTACATTACACGGTATGGTCATCAAATTTATATGCTCTTTAGATTGATAGTCAATGAGCGCACTTATATTATTTTGACATACGGCATAAAAGTAAAAATCATCTAGATGTAACAGCGTGGTATATAGCTTGATCGTTATGAAAATCACCCTTCATATAATTAGTCTTATGTATTTTTAACAGGGTGCCCCCCCCCCCAAAAAAAAAAAAAAAAAAATCGCAATTTTATGAGATCTGTATTTTTAACAACAACATTTGAGGTTTGGGCGTACAAAATAACACCAAGATAATTATTATTGGGTAAGGCATTTTGATTCTACGCTTTTTTTTTGTAAGGCGAAATTTGCTACTTTTGCAACCATATAGTCATGCATAAAGTATGCGACGAATTTGTACCTGAAGGCTTATGCCTAGGTCACATTTGCCGGGGCGGCCGTGGGGTCTGAAATATCTTCTGCAATAGCAATTATAGGGCCACCGCAGCATTCACACGGACACATACTGTATAGCAGTCATAACCGTTAGGGTATAGCGTATTTTGAATTTGTGGAGACAGAAAACCTGCGGCTGCCGTACGGCCTTTGAAGTGATGACTCACGGTCGCCTTAGGCCGTCCCTGCGTCAGCCGTAGCTGATTGAGAAATGCTAGGGCACACGATTGCAAGGTAGCCGCAAGGCCACCGTACGTCCGACGTATGGTCATCGTTGAACCACTCTACGACATGGCTACGGTGTGTCTAATTGTCGAATTGCTACGGTGACCCTATAGAAATGAAAAAAAAAGGTCATAACTCCGCGCTATAATCCCACTGCGACCCGTACGGCCTGTAAAGATAGGGATACGCCCTACAGGGTGACCCTGGGGCCACCGCAGGCTCTCGATTTTGGGGTTCCCGGCCGCCGTATCCTACCCGTATAGAGCAAATGTGACCTAGGCATAACCAAACAATCAGCTGTGTTGGCGAACAAAATGACTGCTCTCATCAACTACATGTATTATGTTGTCAACACAACTCAGACATAACGCGAAGGTGTTTTTTTATCATCCTGATCAATAATTAGTTCACTGCTTTGCATGCTGACTCCCTGGTTGTGGTGCATATCGTGTGTAAGGCAACCATCTTTTAGGTTAATGTAGCCTCGTTTTAATTATTCATTCAATTTTGTTATATAGATTGTTTATATTATTCTGTCGCACTAATGTTTTGGTATTCTGAGGAGGCTAGGAACAGTGTGTGATATGTGTGTGCACTCCAAATGAAAACTGCTCAATGTTGAGTAAAATGTTACTCTTTTAAGTAGTCAAAAGGGAACCGCTCAACGTTTGAGTAAACTTTACTCAGCTTGTGTTGAGTAACAAATCTACTCATCTGTTGAGTAAAAATATTACTCAATAAAAGACTAAATCTCTACTCAGTTTGAATGAGTCAACCTTTACTCAATATTTACTCCTTTGTTGAGCGGTTCCCTTTTTTACTCAGCATCTGGGTAGAAACATAATCAACTCATGCCGAGTGAGAAACTTCTCATGAGTTGAGCCAAATTTTACTCAATTAACGACTACATGTTTTTGACTCAAATTGTTTGAGCAATTTTTTTGCTCAAATATTGAGTATGATGTTTTCTGGGTAACGCTTAGTTGCTCAATCAATATTGAGTACATGCTTTTACTCAATACTGATTAAAACAAAGGTGGATTCAACTAGGGTTTTAACTTTTTGACTAAGGGTTTAACTAAACCGCTGATTAATATTGTTCTTTTTTAACAGCTGTTAAGTAACCATTATTTGTCAATAGAGAATATAAACCATAATTTTGCCTGATTTCTAAATTTAGCATTGATTTGAAGTTCTTCACTCACACACTATGCCAATAATATAAAGTCCACGACATTTTAAATTCAGTAACATAATTTGTGGACTTTAATTTCCAAAATCAGTTTGAATAACATTATCAGGTGGCGGTGGTAATGAGGTGATCAAAGAAAGACTCTCATTATTAGTCCATCTGTATTAGGGTCCATGGTTAATAAAATCATTGGTACGAATTCCATAAATGAGACGATCAAAGAAGTCCCGTATGACAGCTGCCTGGGCAGGGTAATCCAGCTGTAGTACTAGAAATATCTTGTAGCAATTGCTGCTGTCAATGCAGAGCATGAATAGGCGCTTCTCTCGAGGACTACGTAACACTGTCCTGGCTTCCTTGGTGTTCCTCAAAGCACCAACAAGAACAGTTGGCTCCTTCCTCTGAAGGAGGACAGAAAAAAATCCAAGCCAGTTCATTCCTAAAATGATAACATTTTGATATGTAGTTAACATGGTAGGAATAAACAAGGTAGAGGTTAATTTATGTGCATTAAGTTTCGATAGGATGATAACAACTAATTGGTTTTGATAAAAGAAGATTGTCTTTTTCGGGGGGGGGGGGGAGTTGTCCTACTCCGAGTCCTATTAATATCATGAGGATTTCTTACCTAGAAATGTCGGTTGGAGCTCTTCCAAGCTCGATCCATGATCTCAGAATTTCTTCCCAATGTGTCACATCTATCTCAGTTCTTTTGCATCTTTCTGCACGCGCACATGCATGCACGAGACAGCTAATACCCAACCGTAGTTTACTCAAAATTGAAACAAACGAAGTTTTTACTCAATGTTGAGTCATTGATTTACTCTTTATCGAAGGTAACACATTACTCGGATGACGAGTACCAATAAAGTTGATTTCTTACTCCAGCTTGAGTAATGAATTGCTCATTTTGTTACTCAGCTTGTTTTACTCGGCACAATTTACTCGCTGAAATTAAGAGTGTAGCAATGTCATAAATAAGAATAAAAGCAATAACCATGCACTTTGAACTTATCTATCCCTTTAAGCGTTTGGGATTTGAGAATGGTAGGTCATTTTAAGACAACAGTACTATGCGCACTTCAACGAAATCAAAGAAAGATTTTTGTTTTCGTTAAAAAAGAAAAAGAAAACGTCAAGGGTAACCCCTTTAACATTTTTAGACGTAAACGGTGGCCTTCACGGTTTTGCTTCAAACTTGGAGGAAAGTTCGCAGTTGGTCTCCCAAACACATAACCAGGGTTATTAAGATCAAGATAATTAGGTTCGTAAGATATGAGCCTTCAAAGATTGTTTAAGGGCTCCCTATACCGTCCTTAACAGTAAGGTATTTTCATGCCCCTATTCCCCGCAAGCAAAATTATTTCTATAATTCTCCTGAGATACCCAAGAGCAGGCTAACCCATCAAAATGCCTCATAAATTTGGAAGGGAGGCGGTAGCATTCTGATTTATTTGGCATCATTCCCTTTAACCTTCAATCCACCCCCTAAAATAATATCCTTTTCTTATTTCCCACACCATTCCACCTCTACAGCATAATGTGATACACACTGGTTATTGAATCTAAATACCTACTTGTTCGATAGCCTGCTTTTAAAAGGGAATGTTATGTAGGAGTATATTATATGTACCTACTTCGTTTTAACTTTGAAGGGGTTTTACTAATTATGAACATTGGGCAAGATTGTGTGAGGGTGATGAGAAGGTATTGGACTTGGTGATGTAGCTTGGATGGTAAGGGGGAGGGGGGGGGGGGTGGTTAAGTGAATATAAAGGAGTGTAAATTACCCACTTACTTTAATTGAAGGGTTCTTATAAATTATGAACAGTGGGTGTTGTAATATGTTATATGACTCGGTGAAATGATAGAGTCTGGCAGACGATGTAGTTACTGATTAGTAGCCATATTGTAAGACTATTTATTTATGTATCCTTCTGCCTAGCTCGGCGTGGTATTAACATATCATATATCATGTTAATGTAGTTCCAAGTGGACATACAACATCTCCCTCACAATAGATTTTTTTTTTTTTTAAATGAATAACGAAGAAAGGTTATAACAGTTAATCATAAAACCTCTTGAAACTCCAAACACCTGCAAGCAAATATTTTGCAAATACCAATACCTTAAAAATACTTTAACATATGCCCGACTGATTGCCAATTAAGGAATATGTTTATGATTCATAAGAACCAAAATTCGCAACCTTACTTTAGATCCATAAAGTAGTCCTTTTTTGAGAGAGATTATTACGTGGAATACCTAAAACCAAATGATAAAAAATAAAACTATGCGGTTACATATACATCAGCAAACACATGCCTATACAGTTTTTTTCTTCTATATTGACATTTCCAACTTCTTATTTGCTAATCCAAACTTGGCCATTTAGAAGTAAATTGTACTTACATATATTTACAACCAAAATACTGTAATACTAGTTTGTAAGCAAAACATTGTTTAAAATTTGCTCATACAAAGAACTTTGCTGGGCAGAGCTACTGAACAACTCTATGGAAACTTTAGAACATACATTCAACTTTGTTCTCATATTCTTAAAACATTTATAATAACTCAACACAAAACATTGTATTCAAGAAAGTTATGTTGCTTGATTATCTAACATAAAGATACCATTGGGCACATTTCTTTACATTAGCATCATTGTATGCTATTTCTCTCTTCTCCTTTTTTTTTTGTTGTTGTTGTTGTTGTTGTTGTTGCTATGAATAAGTTAAAAAAAAATTGGTTATTATCCAATATACATGAAGTGTCTTTATGTGAGATTCTAATTATAAACTGGAACCTTTGTTCAATCTATATAGTCTGTCACTTTTTGTGTTTTAATTCTTCTTTCAAATTGTTTTTGGTAGTGTTTAACGATAACGGACAGGTTTATTACTAATGCGTCCAGAACGTGTTCTGTAAGGGTCTGTCTCGGATCCTGTCTGGTGGTCTAGTGACTGGTCATGGTCAAGTCCGTCTGCAATTTTTTTGTTCATTGGGGTAGGTGTGTTAGCTAGGCGCGCATCTTTAGTTGGCTCTGCCAGACGAGGCATTTGTGGGACATCTCTCAAGTGTACCCTATTCCTTCTGAGTCGCGTGCCATTTGGGGTTGTGACTATGTACGACCTGGCCTGTAGATCATTACATAAGTTTGTCACCTCAGCTGGAATCCAAGTGTGGGATTCTTTGTCCAGGAAGCGGACTTTCTGTCCTACTCTGAGTGGCTGGAGCTCTTGCTTGCTTCCAACCGCATCGTAGTCTGTCTTCATGCGTCCCCTGCGCTGCTCCAAACGTTCCTGGTTCTTTTGTCCTTGATATGTTGTATTCGAATCAAGGTTAGCAGGAAGTAGTGTTCGGACTTGGCGGCCGAACATCATTTCGACTGGGGATGGAAGATGGGCATCCACTGGAGTACATCGTAGGTTTAGTAGAGCTGCTGCTGTACTTTCTCCAGTTGTCTGTGTTTTCCGTATGATCTCTTTCACTGTTCGGACCGTACGCTCTATTTGTCCGTTTGACTGGGGGTACCTTGGTGAGGAGGTCTGATGCGTAATTCCCCATTCCTTGCACATTTGCTGAAAAGCTGCACCGATGAATTGTGGGCCATTGTCTGACATAATCTCTGTAGGAGATCCCAGAAGGCCAAATATGCCAGTTACAGCATTCGCCACACTTGCACTCGTTGTGGAAGTCAACCGCTGTACGACTGGGAATTTCGAATGATAATCGACTATAAGAAGATACTGAACCATATTCAACTCAAACAGGTCCATGCCTACTTTGGTCCAAGGTGTGATAGGGATTTCATGAGGAAGGAGTGGTTCCCTTCTCTGCTCAGGCATCCTTTCCTGGCATTGGTTGCACAATCTGACACTTTCGTCAATCTGGCGATTTATGTTTGGCCAGTAAACCGACTGGCGCGCTAGGAGTCTCATCTTCTCGATGCCCGGATGGCCTTTGTGCAGTTGCTGAAGGATATCTTGTCTCATAGATTGGGGAATGATCACCTGCCTGCCTTTGAAGAGGACACCTCCAGACATGCCTAGTTCATCACGAAATGGCCAGAATGGGCGCAAATCGCTTGGAAGTTCCTGAATAGTTGCAGGCCAACCAGCATGAGTGAATTCTTTCACTTGCTGTAGAATAGGATCCCTGGTAGTCTCCTTCTGTAGTGCTTCTTGCTTGAGGCTCCCGAAATGGAGCAGATCGATACCCAATGGGTCCTCAACCTCGTCCAGTAGTATGCTTTCTACGTGGACATCCAGCGGAATGTCTTCTGCCTTCGTCGGATTTGGCAGTCTACTGAGCGTGTCAGGAATAATCATCTCTGTTCCTGGTCTGTGTTCAATTGTGAAGTTGTATCCTTGAATCTTCACTAAGAGCCTTTGTAGCCTGGGCGGGGCACTTGTGAGTGGCTTGCTGCATATCGTCACAAGTGGTTTGTGGTCAGTCAGTATCTTGAAGTCTCTCCCAAAGAGGTAAGTGTGAAATCGGGTAATCCCGAAGACAAGTGCCAGTGTTTCCCTCTCAATATTTGAGTACTGGGCTTGGCAGGGAGAGAGACTTTTCGAGGCGTATGCCACAGGCCTTCCACGCTGTGAGAGACATGCTCCCAATCCTTTGGATGAAGCGTCTACTTCAAGGGTGACAGGTAGCCCTGGATCGTAGTACTTCAGCAAGCTGTCTTGCTGGATAGCCTTCTTCAGCTGGCAGTATGCCTCCTGGTGATCCTCTTGCCACATGAATGGGACATCTTTCTTCATGAGATAACGCAAAATAGCGACTTGGTCTGCATAGTTCGGGATGTAGGGTGACAGGAAGTTCATCATGCCTAGAAACCTCTGAAGGTCCTCTTTATCCTGTGGGGTAGACATTGTGTGGATATCTTCCACCTTGCAGGGATCGGGACTGATTCCTTGATCTGAGTAAATCGTCCCGAAGAAGTTGATCGAGCTCGCTTTCACTACACATTTGCTGCTGTTGAATACGAGTCCCTCCTTTGAGGCCACCTCAAGCAGCTTTGTGAGGTTTAGGTCGTGCTCTTCTTCCGTCCTGCCCATGACGACTATATCGTCTGCTATGCAAACACATCCTTGGGTCTGCCCTATTATGTCATCCATTCGCTGTTGGAATAGATCTTGGCTTGTTGAAAGCCCAAACGGAAGACGAAGAAAACAATACCTCCCGAACGGAGTACGGAATGTAGTCAGCTCTTGTGAATCTTCACTCAGATGCACTGACCAATAGCCAGATTTCGCATCTAACTTAGTGAAGAACTTCCCATTCGCAAATGATGGGTTGATCTCTTTGAGTGTTTGGATTTTGTGAGGGCACCGCTTGAGACTTTCATTCAGGCGCTTGGGATCTAGGCACACCCGGATTGATCCATCCTTCTTTACTGATGTAGTGATTGAGCTGCACCAATCAGTGTGATGCGTTACCTTACGAATTACACACTGTTTTTCCATCTTGTCAAGCTCGGTTTTTAACTTATCCTTGATATGAATGCTGCACTTCCGTGGGGCATCTATGTGCGGATTGGCATCTTCCTTCAACAGAAGGGTAGCTGGGTCCTTGAAGTTACCTATGCGGTCGAATTGGCTCGGCCATCGTGAAATAAGGTCGTCTACTGTCCGTATGCATGGTGCTTGACCTGGAACATTTACAGGTGCTTCAACACATTGTTCCACCGTGTGGAGAGTGACCAGCTTAAGGGCCTTGCAGCTTGAAAGGCCTAATATTAAAGGTCCTGGTACATTGACCACGAAAAACTCCCGTTTACTCCAACCTGAATCGTCATATTGACACATGAGATCAAGAGAACCGATACATGGGATAACCGTTTCACCATAGGCCATGAGCCGGACGCGCCGTGGCCTTACAATAGAGCGCCACTGCCCATCGGGGTACATTTTGTTTACAATACGAAGAGGGAGTGTGTTGCCCCCTGCTCCAGTATCTATCTTCACCTTCAGGTGATGTTGCCCGGCCTTGTACGGACAAGCGATATCTAATACTGCGAAAGCTTCCTTGTCCTCTTCTTCGTCCTTGGTGTCCATGCTTGAAATCACTATCGTGCTGAAATGGTGAGGGACACAATCCTCCTCATGGGTAGAGGGTATCTGTTCATTCACTTCTAAAGGCGAAGTGTCAACCTTCTCATGGCTCGGTCCACGTCTTCTATCTGACTTGGACCTGCAGAATTTGGCCCAATGCCCCTTCTTCCCACAGTACTTGCAGTTATCATGATATGCTGGGCATTTCCTGGGATGATGCAGTCCACAATTACCGCATTGTTTGCGCTCACTCATTCTGGATCTGCCATCTTTGCTAGGTCTCTGTGGTTTCCTACTGAACGCGTCAATGTTTGACACTGGGGTCAGGTCTGCCAGACACTGCTTGCCAGCAGCAATGGCCTCATATTGCCTTCCTAGTGTGACCACATCCGTAAGGGGGTGGCCTGCTGGTTTCTGCAACAAATCTCGCTGCAGACCATCGAAATGCGTAGATGCAATTACCAGTTCAATTATTCGTTCGTTGAGTTCTGCATCTGTGAAAGTGCATTGGCGGCTTTTGTCCCTACAGCGGGTCACAAAATCGTCAATGGATTCTTCGGGTTTCTGCCTATACCTCATAAGTTCAAGACGGTGGATACGAAAGTTAATACTGACTTTCAACTGCTTCTCGAAAAAATCCCATACTTTTTCTGGTTTATCCTGGTCTGCAGTACTAAGACCTGAAGCATTGAGGCGTCGCAAACCTTCTACACCTAAAGCAATCTTTATCTTTGTTGCTATCTTCACTTCATCCGTAATATCTAAATCTTTCAAGCATAGTTCCATGCGCTGCTTAAAGAGAGAGAATCCACTTGCCAAGTCGGGCATCTGCCAATTCATTTCAGGGAGACGCGCCATATTTAATGCGTTGCAACTCGATAAGTCTAACAAAACCAGTCCGTCTTACAGTACGTGATCAAAATAAGTCCTCACACAAGACACGCATCAATAATTGTCAACGGGCCGAAAGTTATTTGCATAAATAGAAATATGCCCAGGTATTAGCAGTAATTCACCTATTGGTCGGAACTACTTGAATGCTGCTCACATCAAATTAGCAGGCAAAATCAATTACGAGCATACATGTACACTTTATCGTCTAACAATAAGTACACAAATTGTCACAATATACCTGAATACTTGGACTATTTATTAACTTTTCTGAACCTGAAACCCAACTCATCAACTGATCTTTCATTTGGTCCAGACTAGGTCCCGTTTAGGTATTTTGGGATTTTCGTATAGCTAGGCTAAAATATAGTGGCCTACACTCTGCACTATATACCTCTGTAATCTACGTCTACTGTAGATGTGTACTTAGTCTACCAAAAAAAAAACTACAAGAACAGAGTTTAAAGCACTGATATGAGCACCAGCAGACTTCGATCTAAATCTAGACTTAGATCTAGTCTAGTCTAGTTACAATTGAGAATGATGATCCAGGTCAAGAGCTAAAGTCAGACCTGGATCCCTAACTGTTACTCAGTCCCAGATTTAGACTCTCACACAGTAGATATCTCCTCGGCACAGGTGCTGAACTGAAATGCAAACCCAACTGCCAGTGTTAGACCAGGTTTAGATTAAACCCTTATATAAATCTAGACCGTTATAGAGCACCGGTCTAAGTCTGAGTCACAAATGTATTCAGTAGTGCCTGGCTTGGGCCAGATGATATCCTTGAGTCTACTAAAAATTAGACTCCTTATCTTGGACTTTACAAGGTCAAGGATTTTTGGACTAGATTTTTCTAGACCTAGATCTAGATCTACTTGTAGAGTCTAACAAAGTTTGATCTAAGTTTGGCTATCTTTATAAAACTGCTGAATAAATAGGTCTAGACTAGATATAGATCCAGGCCTAGACTAGATCTATTCCAGACTTAGTCTAACACTCATGTGTTGTTAGACTCCCTAGACTCTATGCCAGATACACCTGTCTAGACCCAGGCTAAGTTATATGAAACGGATATCGTTCTAGAACTAGATAGATCTAGGCTAATATTAATTTGCATAGAGTCTAAGCCTAGGGTCTATTCACTCAACGACAACAAAGGCAAAACATATTCACAATCACATCATGATCAATTGAATTATCAGACAGTAAACTTATCACAGGATACCTCCCTGTAATCTGTTCTTATTGTCATTTGTTATTTTGTTCAGGATGTTCCCGATGTAGTAGTCTTCTATACAGTAATAACAAAGTCAGATTTAGAGCCTTGTCTTTCTTGAATTGTCTTGTCACAAATGTCGAATCACTTCACAAAGACACAACCACAGCTTCATTTGCTTGTGCGATGTCGCATGCACGGCGATATGGGAGCTGGAACCGATAATGGATCAGGCCTCGATCAGTCCTGTTGTCTATGCGATGATGAAGCGTTGGATCGGTGATCTGGTCCAAAATATAGATAGGTCCAGGCCTAGACTCTAGACGATTACAAAATCCAAGGCGATGCTTGTAGTACTTGTAGATTCACGCCGACGTCGATCTAAGAGCTGGAACCGATAATGGATCAGGCCGACGTCGATCTAAGGTAGTTGTTGCTAGCTGCTGCTGAGATTATTTTGACTTTGAGTTTGATGAAAGCAGGTCGCCTCCTCGTCCGCGTTGATCACGGATAAGAAAACCGATGGGCGCTGTTCCAATCACTGTCGTTACATCTCCTCTCTCGGTCTGTTGTGTGTAGCGATCAGTGCTACACAACGTCCTCGTCCGCGTTGATCACGGATAAGAAAACCGATGGACGCTGTTCCAATCACTGCCGTTACATCTCCTCTCTCGGTCTGTTGTGTGTAGCGATCAGTGCTGCTACATGCACATTATGCGGGGAAGACAGTTCCCAATGCTATTCGGCATTAGCGGAGGCTCGGTGGCTCGTACCCGGGTAATGCAGACGATAGGTTGTGGGATGCAGTGCGGGAACATCGATGTTGGCTATAATCGTCGACGACCAAACTTCTACTTAGCAGCTAGTTCTCATTTCTTAGTCCAAGTCGAGGAAAACTGCGGTAGCTAATGTCCGATTATCGAATAATAGCATGGTATTCTCCTTACTGCTGCCACCATGTTGTAATATGTTATATGACTCGGTGAAATGATAGAGTCTGGCAGACGATGTAGTTACTGATTAAGCTACAGTCCCATATACGTCCCGGACCGTCCCGGACCATCCCGGACCCCATCCGGGGTGATCCGGGATTCGGTCCGTGTTGACACCGTGTTGGCACCGGGGTGGTCCTGGATGGTCCTGGATGGTCCTGGGCGGTCCGGGAGTCGACCCCGGATGTTTTTGACGGTCAAAAACTGCCGGGGTGGTCCGGGACGGTCCGGGACAATAGTTTGATCCGGGGTGATCCGTGTAGCCACCGTGCTGGGTCCGGGGTCATCCGTAGTGGCGCCGGGGCGGTCCGTGTTGATCCGTGGCAGTCCGGGAGTGAGTTATTGACCGCCAAGGACCATCCAGGACCATCCAGGACCATCCAGGACCATCCAGGACCACCCCGGTGCCAACACGGTGTCAACACGGACCGAATCCCGGATCACCCCGGATGGGGTCCGGGATGGTCCGGGACGGTCCGGGACATATATGGGACTGTAGCTTAAAAGCATCACACTTTTTTTGAACAAAACATCCCGGACCATCCCGGATCACCCCAGACCATGGTCCGGGATGGTCCGGAGTGGTCCGTGCTCGTCCGTGCTGGTCCGGCTTTATATGGGACTGGGGCTTTAGTAGCCATATTGTAAGACCATTTATTTATGTATCCTTCCGCCTAGCTCGGCGTGGTATTTACATATCATATCTCATGTTAATGTAGTTCCAAGTGGACATACAACAGTGGGTAGGATTGTTTGGGGATAATAAGAAGAGGCAGGGCATAGCCTGGGTGATAAGGGGCTAGCGGGGGGGGGGGGGGGGGGAGGGAGGGGTTAATAGGATAAAGGTGGCAACCGTTACCGTTTACGCCTAAAAATGTCAAAGGTGTTACACATGGGTTTGTAAGATTTTTCTGCTTTTATTGAAAGTAAGTTATTTTTCGAGTGGACTTGTCCTTTAAAGATACTATGTTCCTTTTGCAGCCAACCTCAAATTCTGTAGAACTTTGCAGGAATTATGATTATGTCATGTATGTCCTATCTATGAAATTTAAACGTTAGCAGTGTCCTAATATTCAAATTATACAAGGAAACCCGTTTACTTGCTAGACTTCACTGTCAGACACTATTGTCAGTATTGAGTGACTGGTTGGCTTTTCTTCTTCTTTGGTAATAACATACATAAAATGAGCAGTATAGAGGATTTGTCTACATCAATAACCCACTTCTTGTAATGGCCAAAATTAAACTGATTGAATCTTTGCGCAGCATAAAACGTACGACCATGCGGTACAATGGTCTGAAAATCAAGACTATTACTTATTGGCTTTATAGCCCCTAAGTCGATTTGACAACTAATAGTCGTTATTTTCCCACTTAAAGACATTTTCAAACCCCATTATTTTAAGGGGAGTTCTAAATTAGTATTATCTTTCAAATGCCATTGGAATTTAACCTTTTCATTTTTTTGGCCTGCAAAAGGGACATAGTACCTTTAAGAGAGGGTTATCAAGGCTCTTCATTTACTGCATGTATACAAGTCTACCACAAGATGCGCTATTCCACTGTTGACTTTGGGATACATTGACTAATCTCACTACAATGTCAAGATGAAAAACAACTGTATTACTAAGAATGATTTTTATTGTTTTGGAATCAATAAAAAAAAACTATTGGAGAAAAAAAAAATCATATCCTTTTCACCTTTCAATTTTCAGATGACATCTACATCTCACTCATAATAGGGCCTTTTCGATTTGCACGTCAACATAGTGAACTGCTACGTAGAAATCCACTATGTCGGCGTGCAAATCGAAAAGTCCCTCTATAACCTTTTTCTATTTTTTAAATCTTTAAATTTAGGGTTTATTTCCACATTAAGTGCATATGAAAAGAATTTACAAAGTAAGGCATATACAAGGTAACAAAACATATACATATTATTCGATAGATACAACAGTAAAAAACAACAACGATTTAATGGCAAGTCATTAAAAAACAATAATCTGCAGTAATGAGGAGGAAACCTTGGAAGTATTATGCTTGTATTTAAGGTTCCCTTTACATAATACGGTTGTTACATAATATATAAAACAAAAAACAAACAAAAGAAGAACAAAACGGGTGTGTGGTGCAGCCAACAAGAGTTGATAATACCGATGGTCCCCATTATGATGACCTTAAGCATTTTCATACTGCTTTAGAAGTTTATGTTAACCTTGTAACGAGGAAGAAAACAACCGGAACAATTTTATTTTGTGATATTAAATCAGGACAATTTAAGTACCCTATGGGTATGTCGCGTCAGTAAGTCGAATGTTAAAAAGCCACCTGAGTACAAGGGGGAGGGGGCATGGCCTGCAGCTCTTGAAGATTGTAAATTTGTCTCCATTCGGCAAACATTACCTCATATTTGGGCAGATTTGACATACTTTTGTAAATTCATTTACTTATGTATTCCTGTGACAAACCTGCATTTTCCATTATTCAAAAGTGTCAATTTTTTACTTGCTCACTTCGTTCTCTTGCAAAATTTCTATTCTCTTCTCTTTTCTCTTCTCCTTTCTTTTCTCATCTTCTTTTTTTTTCTTCTCTTCTCCTTTCTTTTTTTCTCTTCTTTTCTTCCTCTTTTTTCCCTTTTTTTTGCCGCCGCAAATAGGGGGGGGGGGGGGGCCGCGGCCGTTTCGCCCCCTGGATCCGCCACTGCTTATGACTAGCGAGGTTACCCTGATGATTTGATCGAGTTCGACCTTTAAGTT